TCTACTTACTGAAGATGAGCACCGGTATTTCACAGTTCTGTCATTCTTTTTCTCACTCTGGTTGTTAGATCAGAAGACACAAGATTTCAAATTTGTTATTTATTGAAAACAGCAACTTGACGCAATAACTTGAATAAAAAGCAGCCGACCCCCATCCCAGCAGCCGGAGAAGTGAGCTATATTTTTTCGCACGTGGTATGGGAGATCAGAGTCACATATTATACAAATTTAGATGTTAACACAGTAGGCTTCTTAGACTAGACCACTGGTACTCAACCATGGCCCACAGCTAGGCCACGGAAAGATTTTTGGGTGGACCACAGAGAGAGAGATTTATTTTCGTCAACCAGAAAAAAAAACACTGAAACAATAGCAACAATAAAAATGTATAGTTTTTCGGTATAGACTGGGAGGAGCGATACGACCATACGGTCATCAGAGTCAGCTCCCCCCATATTCACTATTTTAATTATGCATATGAGAATTCTTAAAAATTGAAAAAAAAAAAATTTTCTATTACAGAAGAAATGCAGCAATAATACAGAAAATAATGACATCCTAAATAGATATCTAATATTGAGTTAGGTGGAATTTTTGTTCAACATGCCAGCTGATAACAAATCATGGGATATGTGCATTGGAGCTTGGAAGGAGCAGCGGTGTGGAAAACAGTTACAGAAAAGGTTTGGAGAAGATTGAGAACCACTTCTGAAAATCATGATCACGAAAATTGGTCACGTCTGGGAAAATTTCACTTAGCAACTTATGCAAAAAATAAATAAAACTTTCACATTGTCAACGTCAAGTACATTCAAAAACCTAATGATGAACTTTTATGATGACAATTGGGAGAAAAGCTTTCATTGAAAGGCATGTGTTGGCAAGAAGAAAATTTATACACATCTGAGTAATGTTGGACTTGATAATGCGGAAGACTGAGTGCCCCCTATTATATATTCATAGGACATATATTTATAGGGAATGTCATAACTCGAACTATATCTATGTTTGCTGACTTAATGCTATGATAAATATTTTTTGCTAATAAAAACTTGAGCCTTTGGGTGATGTATACAAGTCAGTCAAATTACTGTTCGTAGGGTCCGCATTGATAAAAATAGATTTGAGAGGAGTACTGGGAATAAAAATAATTACACTCCATCCTGGATCTAGTATAGTTGGGGCGTTCAAGAGGTTTTCAGCATGGTCATTATCAATGTAAATGTACCAATGCGGTGATCAAACTGACCTAATCACAATGAAGTATAGGAGGAAAATTTGTAAATATTAAAGCTCAATAAAGGCACTCAAAAGATCTCATTTATATAAATACAATATTCAAAAGAAATAATATAACAGTAATCAAACATATAGGATAATTCTTATATCATTTGGATAATTATGAAAGTGATGGACAACTAAGACAAGTACAGTATGATTAACAGAACTATTGAAAATTTGATAACTAATGATTGACGATGCTGTTTCCTGCTACTGAATGGTAATTGGACACGTAGTGGACATAACGATCGTTTCAATATTATGTTGGTCTTGTTGTTCTTTGACACTTTTTGGACATCTGGTGGAAAATCTAAAAAACCGCTTTTCTCTTTCATTTCTGGACCGATTGCTTCGAAATTTTTACTGGTTGAAGATGAAATTTTTCTCCAGAAGACATGGAACGTCGATGGTTCGTAACGAAGTCCTTACGGTACTTTGCTACGATTTTTTCCTTACGCTGTCTTACTACGGTACCGGTACTGTACCGTATTGCAATAATGTTGGTTTTCTTTTCTGCTGGGACGTTATGGTACCGTACCGCCTTAGCGAAAGTTGGAAGTCCTACTGTTAGTCCGGCAGATGAGGGGCCTTTTTGGGCCCAACCTTGTTTTCAGACATAAAGTTTTTTTTATGTGTGATTATTTATCTTGGGGTTATTGCCCACCATTTCTACATGGGTGTGGAGTTTGCAGCCTTGAGCAATTTTTTTTACGGCTTGATATTTGTATTAGTGTTTTTAATCGAATCTGTGCACCATAATGGCGCACAACCTGAAACCTAACCTGTTACAATACTATGTTCAGGCTGTGCGCCATCTTGGTGCACAAACTACGGAACCATCAAATTTACTAGGAAATAAAAATCAATAACTTTTAGGTATTTTTTGAACCCAGCTTTGGGTCGCGACCCATATATATGGAAATACTGTTGAAACATGCGCGTAAAATAAAGTGTACTATTTCAAAATATCCGCTTTTGTTGCAATTAACAATACAAGCCTGCTAATGCAGTCGGCAGTGGTTCAAGTGGATATACACCCGGTGGAGAACAGTAAATTATTTGCTAGCAAGGATTGTTATGCAGCGGGATGATCACGACGATGCAGTGAAAGATACTGCTATCACGACAACAAGGATGAGAAAATTGCTACATTTATAGTATATCCCTGGGAAAGAATGTAGTTCGTTCTTATGTTCCATGCCAATGCTTTTTAAACTACCAAAGACTTTCAACACTTTTGCTTCTTCTCTTCTATAAAAATACATTGTTATTATATATTCTCATTTCCATCTGTTTGTTCGTGCTCCCAGATAACCGACCAGTGGCCTCCAAGGAGGCCGTGGTCCCCTTTCAGGAAACCCTGTCATAAACTATAAGAGGCTACCGTGCTTCTCTTGCCTGTTGTCATGCTGTCCCTCGAATTCAGCTACAACAAAAAAACAGCTACACGAAAACGGGTTTTAGAATTTATGATTTCATTATTGTTCTCGACAATGAATAATATATATACAGTGAATTGATTGTGGTTGTTGAGGATGTTTCAAAAAAAGGTTAAATGGAAAAATGATTTGACGAAATGTCAAGGTTTGAGAGTAGTAGAGAAGTGGAAAAAATACTCCCATGTGTTCTTCATTTGATAACCACGCCACAGAACTTCTCCGATAAATATACGCAGCAATTGCGAGAGACAGAAATGCCAGGATGGGATTTCATCGCATTGCAAACCAATATTAGCGATTCTCAGATATATTCGCGCATTCCCATCTGAACAGCGTGGAAAAGATTATACCTGTCTACACACCTGAAAAACTATGTCAGATGAGCGTCATAGTAAATCAGTAAAGGAATAGTGCAATGGGAAAAGACATATAAGGCGTAACTTTCAGTAATATGCATCAAATAATCTTATTGTGGATTATATATTCAAAAACATTTCGTCACGCCAACCGCAGTCCGAAACTTTTTGTCTCTGGCTGAGCTTAGATACCAATTGGCACTCATGTAAACTGGTAAGAGGCACGCGATGGAGCAGATAATATGAGTATCCATCTCCCAACTGTCATTTGAGTAGGTACTGCTGTTTTTATTGCAGATGATACTGATTTTTTTGTATTAAAGATTTACTGGCATCACCGATTTAAGGATGTCAAGTGATGGATATAAATAAACCATTTGAAAACCAACACGCAGTATTACAAAACTTACTTCCAACACGCGGTTTGAATGAATGAAAAGCTGAAACTAGTATTCTTTAAAACAGCATACAAATTCTATTGAATGAAATCATACACAAAAGCTCTTCAAGAAACCTATAGCTCAATAAACAAGTGGAATTTGATGCTTGTTCGCAAAAATGTGCGCGTTACTACGTACAACCGAAGCACGCAGGAAAATGTGTACTAGTGATCAAAATGTTTGACTCAACTATGTTGGCATAACAGGTGCACATCTCGGTTTTGCATACGCATACCTTCTATCTCCACAAGGATATATTAATTTAGCCAAAGTCAATGCTGCACCTGAAAGGTTCCGGTTCTTCCAAAAGAAAACACGTTACACATCGTTAGATACCAGTGGATGGTTTTATATGGCCTTATTCGGAGTAAAAGACGAGGTCGAATATTCCAATCCATTTCAATTAATAAAATATTTCCCAAGTCCCTAAGCTTTAAGCAGGAAAAGGAAATGCCCGCAGCAACACAAATGTAGTTTGACGAGCGCAAAAGTAAGTGGCTAGATGCTGTCGATGGATCTTGGCTTATATTAGTGAAATAAACTACCATTTATTCTACTAAAATTGAATTTCTGACATTGTAAGGAGATGCAATGTTACTATGTATTCAAAACTAACCCATGTAGTTGTGAAATAATTGTTTTTAACGAAAAGGTGCTCCCGAAGTAATCGTACCAAGATGGCGCACAACCTGAACATTGCATATGTACCAGGTTAGAAATCAGGTTGTGCGTCATCTTGGTACGAATACTTGAAATCCATTTAGAAAAAATTGCTCAACATTATATACTCCACACCCACCTGGGTATCATTATTTATGTCATCTACATTATATCTAAACAATAAAAAAAACTTTATGTCCCAAAACAATGTTAAAGCCCGATTCTGCCGGACTATGTACTGCTTCGCTTGGTGTGAATATATTTGTAGACTGTGATCTGACGGTACGGTAAACCGTACTGTACTGCGAACAGACGTGTCCATATATTTGGGCGTAGCTCTCTTGTTTTCATTCTAATTATAAAGGGAAAGTGTTCATTTTCGCAAAACGATTTTTAATTTTTTTGTAGTTTTTCCTTTGCAATAAAAAGTTAATGGGTCACGAGAATTTTTGTGCAAAAAAAATGGGCCACAAAAGAAAAAAGGTTGAGAACCACTGGACTAGACAAAACAGCATCGAATGGGTCAGCATAAAAAGATATACACAATATAAATATATAATTTGGCTCGGAGGTGTGATGGCGACGGGTCGTGCGGTTTGCCACCGCATCTCCGATTCCCGTGGCGGATATCATGTGCATGAGAATTTCTGGACCCTCGTCGCCGAAGGGTAAGGGTTCACGTAAACGATCAGCGGTTACGGCTTCCTCCGGCATCAAGTCCACGCATCTGAAAACATATACGGTAACTGCTAATTCCATACTTGACTGGACTGATAACCGGAAGCCGGGAAGATATTTGAGTGCGGTCTAATAATGAAGTAAAATGCATCAATTTATTTTATCAATTCATGTCAACTTCAAAATTTAATGAAATCTAGATGTACCAATAAAGTATATTGTCTGTTTTCCACTCACGGGAAAAAACAAACTGGTATCGTATTTGCACAAAATGTCCAGGAAATATTTTTTCAAACAGATTCAAAAAAAAAAAATTCATTATAAAGGTACTATTTATTTAGAGGAATATTTCATCCAAATCAAATCATCATCAAGGAGGTAGACCGCTATTAAGTGCAATTTTAAGGTGTAGATCATCAATTTCATTACTCAATGGAACTTTGCCTTCAGGCGAACAACTAATATTAAAATCATCATTATTATTAATTTGTGCATCACTATATGATTGTTCTTCGTTATTCGATTCTGTTGTTATTTTCTTTGAATAATTTTTAGCAAATTCTTTCCATAGCTCCTGGGAATCATCATCTGTGCTACTCAAAGACAATGCTCTTTTTCTTGGTTTGATTTGGCTACTTGTGGATAACTTATTCATCGTGAATTCTGATTTCTTCAAATTTCCAAAGGATTTAAACTGTAAAATAATATTTCATTTACCAGCATTTTCATCTGAATAGTAGAATATGGCCGACAGCCTTCCTCTTATGAAATATGTGAGTCACACTCACAGGATAACAAATTTACCAATTTGGTTTATTGCAAGTAAGGCACTAACGAGCACGTTAATACTTGATACCTGTGTGAAAATATTACAATATAATCCCGAATGCATCTCCCTGGATAATGCTTCAATATGTATCTCTTTATTAGGTCAGTAATTTTCTGCCAACATAAATCACGGTTGCTGGGCACGCCGTTTTAAGCGCAATGCTGGGTTTAGGCCTAGAGAGTCTTCGAAAAATCTGATCACTTCTATATTAGGGCTTGCAACCTGTCTTCAAGTATAAAAAAAAAATCTAATAGGGATAGGTGAATTATTTATATCCAGACCAAAATAATTGAAACATGATGAATGTAGCTACTAAAAATTACAAAATTGTTGCTTTAAGTAAACAGATTGAGCATATTTGTAGATATAAACAAAAATTTCACCGAAATTTTGTCTTTTACATTCATCAAACAGTTAGCAGAAAGTTCATCTTCAACTTCTTTCAATGTCATTCCACCACGCGGTATTACATTTGCATATATATTATCAGGATTGACATACTTGACAAAATCACAAACCTGATAAACATAGAACGTTGTTTTTTGCATATGATAGTTTCCCAAAATGCATATTTGATACAATTTGATATTAAATCAACATGAACTCCAATCTTACATTTAGGTATACCTACATCTTTAAACTCTAAGCACAGTGGTATATTTTGTGCAAAATCAAATTGAAAACCATTATTTATACCATATTAAAGAGCAGCAATTTTCAATTTTTTTGCACTGGAACATCTATGTTTTTTAATTTGCCTAGCGGAACACCAAGAAATTAGCAGGTAAAATTGGTGGGTAATTTCCAAAAAATCTAGCTTATGGTAAAATTAAACTGTTTGCTGTGAACTTGACAATTAAAAAATTAGGCCGATGGTTATCAATATTGAACGGTAAACGAAACCTCCATGCTTTCTAAACTAGCACAAGGCCTTCCTGCATGTTTAAATAGCAAGGCCTGTCCTCCCTTTTATCGCTAGTTGGGAACTTGGTATACAGATCGCCGAGGTACGACCGAGATCGCCATGGCGACCAATTCAGTCACAACTTCGATCCCTGAAGGCTCCAGAGGAACTTGTGGAACAGCAGTGTTCCGTGGAACAAAGTTTGAGAATCGCTGTTATAGTGATACACTTATGAATATATTCTTTTAATGTACAACATAATCCTTAGGACAGAATTTTCATATTTATCCCAAAGTCGATAACATACCATACAGTTGTCAGTCCATGAGGATTATAGAAAGAGTTAACCAGTTATTTTTTTCAGATTGAACGCTTTAATAGTGGAGGAACCCGTAACTGACCAGTGGTTATGTGAACATCGTTTATCGTGGAGGAGTCTAGCAATCCTCTTATACATAAGTATCTGCTACTGGACTTGAACCTACATACCCTGGAGGTTTATCAGAGGAGTTTTTACATACGAGTACCTTAATTTTCTGTGATTGTGAATATTTGTGATACATTTTTCACATTTCATACATTATCTTAAAATTTATGAAACGATGGTCAGCCATTCTGGCAAAAAAATGAAAATTTCTTAAATATACAAACCTCACTATTCGATGAATGAAATGAGAAGCAAAACCGAAAATGATTTTTCCCAACTTGATGACAAACTTCATGAGGTTTAGCGGAATATGTAAAATACAATGTACTCAGCGTCAATGTGAGGAATTTTTTACGAGTTTTCTTCTCTAGATCTTCTTCATCTGCTTCTTTCATGTTCCACTGCTGAGGTTTGTTGATTCGCTAAGAACAGAATAAATGTAAAACTTATTTATTGATTGGGTTTCTGCATGACCAACTACTACTCATCCTTTTTCTCTGCTTTTGCACCAGTAGATCAGATGCATATAACTGCAAGAATGCTGTAGCAAGAGGTAAAATGACTAGTTTAGTGGAATCTAAAAGCCTTGTTGCGCAATAACACAAGTATGTTTCTGGTAATTGAATTATGTATGTTTGAGGAAGTCTGACGCAAAAAATTGCAGAAATATATTTGTGTTAGTATGCTGCAAGACGCTTGAAAATGATTAAAAATCTTTAAATAAGAAAAAGGTGGTATACCACTACCAGTACAAGTTGTGAAAAAGACCAATTCTAACCCATGACAAATTTTATAAAGGACCACTTCGAGAAGCAATTCATTCAGACTAATGAAACAGTAGTATCCAAAATTATTAAACCTACTGATAAGAACCATACAAGAAAACAAGTTATTTTCACCTCTTTTTTGAAGCAAGCAAAAATTTTTGCATGTTCCGGGTTATCCGTCAATATTTTATGAGTTTCTGGCAAGCACTGGTAAAGATTCTTCCGTTTGCAATAAATTTTTGTTTTGAATTTATTATGAAGTGCATGGAATAAATATTCATATCCATATTTTGCACTAATGTTTAGTCGTACAGCATGCAAGTCATCTGAAAAAATGGGGGTTAGAAAAATAAAAGAGCATGATAATTTTTTCTACTATTAATATGAATTTTAAACTTAACTTAGAATAATAAAAAGCATAATTGAAGTTCAGAATTGTATGAGGCACAATGTGTAGAATATTTATTAACTAAGATTTCAAGATAGGCTTTTTCATATATAAACCAGGTTGGAATTTAAAGTTAATATGCCTGTGAAATTATAGAGTGAATCACTACTGCCTTTAACTTTGGAACTAACCATCTGAATTCACGTAATGGACATAATATAGTGGACATAGTCGAGCATCAAACTCACCCTTTGTCAGCCATTCTGCTACAACAAGTTCTAATCTTTTTAAACAGTCTTCCCTGCTTGGTATAAAAATAGCATCTGGTATACAAAAAGTTGTATCAGCATACATGCTTTTGATATGCTTTTTTGTCCCATCTGAAAATAGTAGAAAGTCTTCAAAATGAAAGATTAAAATTAGATTGAAGTTTAAAAATAAAAGCCAAGGCTATCTGAGTTTTATGTCTTCCACTTTGAATGAGGTTTTGTAAACGCTTCTAGGACCTACCGGAACTTAATTTTGGAAGAACCTTAATCTTTGTGTTTCTGCATTGTCTACCCAATTCATTACACAGTGGGTGAGGTAATGAGCATAGGATATTTAACCTGAGATGCCAACTTAGTCAATTCCAATCCTTTAACCATCAGGCCAACCACAGTTCAGTTCACAATAAATTTGCTCCAACAATTATAAATGCGAATTTGGTAGATATTGTGAAATTGAAAATCAACACAAATACAGTTCATTCACACTAGTACTAGATTATATTTATGATTGAAAAATGAATAAATACTATCAGCATATTCCTTACTTGATGTATGAAGACATTTCATTCTATGACCTGAACCTTTTGAAAATCGAAAATCTCCTGTGTATAAAACATTACCTTCTTCCCCTTCAAACAAAAACCTGAATTAAAAAAATATGCAGATCATAAACAAGACAAATTTATTTACTGAATGTCGCAAGTTAATTTGCTCTCGAAACAAATAAAAAATGCTCATAATGGACAAGAAGGAGGCACATCAGTACGGGATTCAGTACTGAGATTCCCATGAATTACAATGAAACAGCAAAATTTTGGGTGCTATGTTACTCCGAGAAAATTGGAAAAGAAATAAATTAGTATCCTTCTTTCAGTTTGAACCATCTTCAAATTGAAATTGATTGGTGTATCAGTAGTATAGAAAGGTGATTTTTCAAAATAAACATAAATTTAACAAAGCTTGTAGGTTATTTAATGTTACATTAAAATTGTTCATACATTACTGATCCAGGACAATGAGAAGCTGGAAGAAGTGTAATTGTGATTGACTTCAAGTCATTTCCATTGATTTTAATATCGATAACCTAAACATAAATAAAGATAAAAAATAAACTAAGTTTCAAATTGAAATATTCACAAATCAACTGGGTTTCAAAGGTCAAATGAACAACTGTTTCTTTCATCTTAAAAATAAAATTATTATCAAAAATAAATAGTTCCAACACAAGAAAGGTTGCAATTCTCAAACTTCAATCTGAAAAACAACCATTAATGAGTTTATCAGTACACATAATCAATATATATTTAAAAACCAATATTTGAGTCCAAATCTCACTTAGGGTGTGTAATAAATGTTATGTTTTTTTCCAAACCAAAAAGATGCCAGGCTTTTTAAAACATGATAGCTGTCTATATAAAAAGTGCTGCTTGTCTAAAATTTTGTTAGTGTTTAAAAAAAGTTTGTTTGGTGACATCTCTATTTCTTGTGACAGATTGACACTGATCAAAACAGAAACACAAAAATTACCGCATTGTCCCATTTATATGGTAAAATATATACAAACCTTTGGATAATTAATCGGAAGTGCTATTATATTATTGGCAAGATGATAGTATCGGTCATCTGCAAGCAATAAGGCCCTTGAAACTTCAGAGCAATAGAGAAACACACTTTCATTCGATTTCAAGTGCTCATGAAAGCTTTCATCTCCTAAACCAACCATGTGATCAGTGTGGCAATGAGAGAGAAAATATGCCCATGAAGATAAATTTTCTCCATCAAAACGATCAATGGACAGGTATTTGTATTCATTGAGAAGACCACCAAAACAACTCATTGCATTAATGTTTTAAGTATATCAATTCCAAAGTAATCATTCAGAAGCTATTGATCAGTAAATTTCATTATGTTACCAGTTTAATGTTTCACTGTAAAAAAAATACATATGAAATATGAAAAGTGAACTTGGAAATTGCAATACAGCTAATGATGATCAAATGACGGGTGATCAATCAAAAAAATTCAAGGAATACTAAACCAGTAATTTAGTGTGACCAACATCCTATGGTTGCGCCAGCTTAAATATATAGTTTACTCTAACAATGTAAGAAGCTCAGTTCTCGGATTCCAAGAATTCCCTACATTTTTTTTCAATAAAACAAACATCCTATTTGTGGAGCGTCATGCTTGGCGCAATAATAATATAAATCAATCGCGGCGTGCAGTCGCTGTCATATGACTAAAATTCTCCCTGGCTGACATTTTTTTGCTAAAACTCTCAAAATGAATTGTATTATTTTTTCTGAGGGATCCAATAGTGATACTTTAAGATTGCGTTTCTTTTAGTTTATCCTGAAGTGTCGTTTTGTGGTTATATCGAGACATCAGACCTCGTAAAAGAGGGGCTTGTATTCACTTTTCTAAATATTGTCTTTAAATATGGGGGTTATTCTTGGAATCGGAGAACTTTGCCGGACTAGATATTTGACATGGTATACCATATGACAGAATGATTAGGTCTAAAATAAAGAAAAAATATATTACACAATGCATTAAAATATCAAAGTTCAGCATTCCTCTCCTCTGGATAGATAAGCTATCCTACGATATGGAAAATCTTACATTTATTCCAAAGCTAAACTACAGGCATTTACACCCATGATATAAAAATATTATAGGATAGGATTACCATATTTATCCAGAGGGAGAGGAAAGCCGGATAGACAACTTAATTATATGGTGATTCACTACCTCTGGTCTGGTTACAAGCCCATGTCGGGTATGGGATTAGTTAGCTAGTTATTTGTTTCAGATACGGTACATGGATATTTCTGTATTTTACATTTTTTAGTTTTCTCTAATCAACTACTGAACTATCCATTAACTTTTTGGGTCGATGGCTCAAATGTTCGTGTTTTCCCACCCTCAACTTCAACACTTTCGTATTGCCAACGTCTAAATGTCCGACAGTCAATTCCACATTTAGAACTACGACATGTATCACATGGATAAAAACATCCAGGACAGGTGACCATCAAGCAATCACATAAATCTCTTCCATCTGCTACAAGACACCCTCCTTCGTCATATAAACTCTTTTTACGACTTTGATTTTGTTTGATAATTCTTTGTAGCTTTCTTTCTTGTCGCTGGCTAGTTTCTGGATTGAAGTGATCAAGAGCAGGGCCAGGATTTTGAAATTGAAGATTCTTTATTTGTCTTGCTTGTTGCATTCTATCAGAATATCGTCTCATATTTCAATGTTCAATTCTCACTTTAATGCTCTAAGATTGTGTCAACTAAATTAATAATCAGTTTGTCAATAAAGAAATTTTCGCAGACAGATAAACACATAAAGTTCAACCCACCTCCACCAGAAAAAAACAACAGTAAATTAGGGGAAATCCCTTTCGACAGGAAGAAAACACTTATCTATAAAATTTGTTTGTTAAAAGTCTATTATATATTTTCAGAGAATTTATAGAAAAAATTTTAAATATTACATTTCAATTTTAAATTAGATTGAACTGTTTCATTCTTCATTTGAGCAATTGTATATTCAATTGTGACCTTTCAACTCGTTCAACTAAAAAAGCCCCTACATCAGCGTCAACGACACTTGTCGCATTGCAGCTGGGAATATAATGAAAGTGATCGGCAGGTGTGTAGATATATTTAGGACACGTCAGTCAGTCAGATTTTCACATTTATCATTAGTTGAACGTAATGCAGTCATACTTCTTCTGTGTACTGCAAGATATAAAATATGGTTAGAACGTTATGCAGTTATTTTTGAAAATGTTAATCCAAGTGTAAATAGTGTCATAACAAGAATTAGAAAATCCCTTTTAGCAAGGAGAATATAGAACAACTTAGACATAATCCTAGTTTTATAAAAGAACTAGACATAATTTGTAAGAATCTATGACTATTTGTATAAATTTTTATTTTTCTGCTATAAATTAAAAACATATAAATTAATGTATATTTACTGATAAACATGGGAAACTTTATCTGGAATCAACAATGGAATAATATGAATTGCTGGATAATACTGGATGATGTTTACGAATATATTTGTTTTTTATATGTAACTATGTTCTATGATTATTATTTTTTAATCATTTATTTATTTTTACAAAACTGTTATGAATCCACAACGTGGACCTTTAAAAGACTGAGATGAGTATACCGGTAACTTTATTTTTATTAGCGTGTGTAAATGATACGAGCATATTTTACAGTGCAAGTCGGAATCATTTTGTATGACAGAAGTCATAATACAGTATTATGGTACCTTGGTACAATGCGGCATGATCTGATGAAACAGCATTTTATCATTTTTAATCAATCAATTTTATTTTGGTCGCTCCGGTATAAAACTAAACAGATAAACTATATCGATTTGGAGTAATCAATCAAGTCCTTTGACTGTATAAACGACTTCCTTTCATCCGAATGTTCACAAACCATTGCGCTCTTTCTAAAGATATGATTAATACTAAGAGCAGGTTTCTGTCTTGTTTTGTATAGGTTTATTTTTCTCTTTTCACACCTTACCCACTTTTCGGTAATTACCAAAACCTGAATATCTCATGTTCCAAATCCATTATTTCGTCAATTATGGCATTGCTTATCAGCACGCAAATTTTTGCATTTGTCAGGTATAATTTTTTTAATAGAAAGTCATTTAAAATGTATATTATTATTTTTTTGTCTGTGTGAAATCGACTCTGATCATCCAATCGTATTCGCTTTATTTTTATATTCACTCGACTTTGCCATTCTTCATCTGTGTCATTGCACATCGTAACATATGACTGAAACTCTCATGCATGTTATAATATTATTCCATGTTTTTTCTAAAGTGATTCACACTTTTCCTCAAACAAGGCTATAGAACCATAGAAATTGATATGACTACTATGATTTTAGTAGGGATGGGATATGCACTAACCACTGGGCCAAAATATTCACTGTTTCTGTATTTATTGGAAAGCTCAATGCAATAATTTTGTGCCTCCTATCATGTTTGTCATGCATTCTGTTTAAAAAATATACTTAGCCACTTATCTATATGTGGCACAAAAAATACTGCCAACAAGTTAACACCCAGACAATTACGGTGATCCAGCTCAAAATGTTAGTTACTGTTTATCTCCAATACTATAGTCCACTAGGTGACATAGTAAAAAATTTTAGATTGTAAAAGATCTGGCTTTCTTCGTTAATTTGTGATATCAGGACACAATGCCTCTTTTGTACCCGTTAATTAATAAACTGAATCTTGAGTCAGAGTCATAGGATTTTTGTCAAGGGTATCACAGTGTGTAAAGTTGCTGAAGAAACACATCAGTTCACTGAAGGAAGTCGTTTAAGCGTATTTAGCTTTCATTCTTGTTTCCCTTTTACTATCATATTACTTTGAAGGATGCAGTAAGCGCTAATGGTGTTCATGACTGATATATAAATAAACGTGCCGTCAAACTATTGTTCGAAATCTCTCCGTCGATAATATCAGATAGTGAATATCATATATTGCACTATCAGATAGTGAATGTAGCAACCAAAATGTGAAATGACGCATATAATCATTTGCAATGACACAAGATGTCAGTATTATTTGTGAGTTGAAATTAAGTACCTAAGTAACATGAGTAAACTTCTCACAACTAATTAGCTCTGATGTTGAATATTTCATTAGTCTGTTGTTTTTTTATGTTGAGTTTTATCGGTCAAAAATATCATTATAATTGCGCTTGGACCGGATATGCAAGGCTACAGCAACAAATATTAAAATAATGATGTTATCAACGATACGTCTCAAAGGGCTTTTATTGATATATATGGTATAATCTGTGTCCGATTGTGACTTTCGGCATCAAATCAAATTTATTTATTATAACATTATTTTTAAATTATTAGGTCGGGACAAACGCTTTGAACATTTCCATTTCACAAACTCAATAGCTCAGCGTTTGGCACATCGTGCTGACCGCTACGAAGAGTACGCCATTGTGTATAATAATAAATTCTCTGACTCGAGCTGTTTGCAATTTTTTACCCTTTACGTATTTTACGAAATTGAGTTCTATAAGTAAAGTTTTATATCCTTTGCAAGGTACTACATAAGGTAACTTATACTGTCAGTATTTAACCATGGAAGAGTCTTTATGCCGAATCAAAAATTTGGCTCATGCTTCTGTTGCTTCTCTGGAAATGAAAATGCAACAATATGATCAATGGTCCGAAAATTTTGAGAGTGATGTCAGCAATCTTGATTATCGGTAATCTGCAATTCAGACTAGTAATCTGTGAATATTTGACTTTCATATTCAGCGTATTTTCATTAGTGATCGGAAGCTGAAAAAAGTTATAGTAATCAATCCGTATCTAGATACCTTTAATAAATTTTGCTGATTTAAATTTTCGTTTATTTTTTCAACGAAATGGTATCGTTTCTGGGGATGTTTTGATACTAAATTCGAAAAAATGTTTTGGAAAAAAATTTGTTTTAGATAGGATAGTTAATTTCGTCAATCAGAAATTACCCCTTTTTCTAAAAGATTTTCGCGAGGTCGTGATATATGTCGAATTTGTTTATTACATATTTACTTTCAACAGAGCTCCAAAGATTTGCGTTGATCATTTGTATCGAGTGATTGAATCTAAGGGACTTCAATTCACCGAGGAAACAGAAATAATCGACTTAGCTGCCGGTAATACTTTTATTAAAGATTGTATAATCAAGTAAAGCTCTTGCTGCATCATCAATATCATAACTCGACTCGGTCGCCTTAAAAAAGTAAAAATCCTATAGAGTCGAAAAACTCTTATTGTCATTCATAATTCGTACAGCCAGAACTGCTGTCAATATATGTGCATACATATGCTTTTTTCGTGTTTTTATGGCAGGAACTGGATTGGTCGGTAAATTCCTCCGAGATAAACAATTCATAGGAACAATTGATGCCCAAGATGGAAGCTCCGGAATGTTGGACGTTGCAAAGACTAAAAACATTTACTCGTAAGCTTTGCCAAAGATAGGATAAAATTTTCATGTTTATCCCACCGGATGGGAAATCACAAAATAAGACCTATCATGTAGAAGATCACGACTGTCCATACCAGACATATGTACTTTTACACTTTATTTGTTTGTTATTTGTTCCCCTGGGATATTTAAGTAAGTACTATCCTATGCACGAAAGCTGCAATACCATGATAATACCATATTTGTCATAAAAGAAATTATCTTTATGCTATACCTATATATATATGTAATAGTTTAATATTTTATTTCACAGCAATTTCTACGAATGCATTTTAAAACCAGATGCGATCTTGCCTCTGCCGGTAAATCATTACGACGTCGCAATTTTGAGCGGTGCTTTGAGTGACAGTCAAGTACACCCGACGTGCCTAAAGGTTTGTGCATAATGAAGAAGTTACATTTGAAACTACATTAGACATGAGCGACAGTGCGTTGCCGTTTTAATACCGGCGTCTCAATTGAGTTCTGTAGCCTAATTTAGCACCATTTCTACAAACTCGCTCAGCGCGTAATAAATTGGGTACCGGTAACGCGATATGATCACGTAAATGCTTCATTCCATCTCTAATTCTAAAACATAGGCGCTTTATACGTAATCGGTGATTGCATGTTTTGATCGAGAGTGCCAAAATACCTTGTATATATATTCCTCATTGTGGTGAGAGGCGCATCATATTTAAGATTCGTAATATTTTCAGGATATACTGCGGCATATCGAAGTTGGTGGGATTTTTGTATTTTCCACTCGTTCCAATAGAAATAACCTGGATTTCAAAAAGAAGTTGGACATAGAAATTGAAAAATTAGAGCATGACGGCTGTTGGGAAAAGCTATTAGTAAATGATGTCAAAGAATTTGAAAGAGCCACCTCTCCAGAAGAAGTAATACAGGCAGCTGACAAACAGCAAATTACTGAGGAATATCCTTTTATATCTGGATCTGTTTATTGTTATAGAAAACTAAACTAGCTTTCTGTCTATTTATATTGTTGATTTGCAGCTAAAGTGCACTCGTGGGTTTTTACCTAATTATTTATAACTCACGATTCGAATATTTGATGTCTTTCAATGGACGTTGCAAATAATGTTTCAACTATTTTTGATCGAAAGCAATTTCAACTATTTTACAATATACACTCAGGTGCATGTTTCCCATTGCAATATTGTTTTTAATTATGCTAGTGTTTTATAAAGCAATCACAAGTATATATGGTACATTATATTAAAATAAAATCATAGTGTTTTTCGTTGATTGCAGCTCTTTGTATTGAACGTGAATGTCGGCTTCGAGTGTTACGGCGATTTGTATTGATGTTACTTTTAACATCGTCGTTCAGCCACAATCTCATGCTCTAAAATCTGGTTCTCGTTTTCAGACATCAGAAAAATATATAAATGCGCTATGTTTTATATGTGAATATTTCCGTATACTGCGGCTTGTAAATATTATTTCTAAATTTAGCATCATAAATTAAAGTTATTTGCCAAAAAGAAGTTGGCACGATGGCAACTTAGATACACGACTTGTTACGACACGAGTTGTAATTTGCTATTTGACAGTTAATGACACAAAGTGAGTTCAGTCTCTACCGCTGCTAGCCAGTTGCATATAGTTTGTCATAAATATATTGTCTAGTGATAGAAAGCCTCAACGAAATAATCATCGGTGGTTAATTAAACAGCGGATGACTTCTGCTGGTGACTGTGAGTGTCTTCACTGCTGTACGTTTGTTTTCCTATCGAGACAGAGACTGTTTGTGTGCAACATCGGACAAATGGCTTTTTGAGTGCCTGAAATCAGATGCACGTGGTTATGAAAGTCGATCAATAAGATAAACTGTTGAGCCAGGGAGTTAGCAAAAAAAATAACATTACACAAACTTGGATCAGATTTGTTCGGAATGATTTGGGGCATGCCTCATTCCTCAAGTTGAACATATATATATATATACTGTATATATCAATATCTCAGCGCAACACGAAAATTATACATTTTACTCGATATGGACTAGTAACAGAACGAGAGAAATAAATACATTTTCCAATGCGGTCGAATTCAGGTATCGAGTGATGAGATCGTCCTCAACTTAAAACACCTATCACAACTAAGAACTAATTAAATAGTGTAGAAAGATTCGCTGCCAGTCTGGCAAAATCACACTTAACATGATCATGTTACTGTTAGTAAGACCGGGGTGATCACTTTTACTTATAAAATTTATCATAATAAACCCCTTCAATACACACTGTCACTGTCTCACTTTGATATTTCCCATACAGGGCACTTACCTCTTTCATTCCATGGAGAGTCAGTGTGAAAATAATTGGATTTATTATTGAATGAGAAAAACTCAGAATAACAATAGCTGCAGCAGCTTCATTTGATAAGTTGAGTCGGAAGTTTGTTACTGATTCAATAAAGAGGAGTATTGCCGAAGGAACTCTATACGAAGAAAAACATTTGTGGTTTGTTTACATGGGGTAATACATTTTGTAATCAAAAAACTGCGACATAAATTCGTGACTGGTGGTTGAAACTTTATACAAAAACAATTCCAATTTTTGTTGTAAGATATCTTTCAAATGATTGTGGTAAACTGAACATGCATGAACTCGGCACTAGAGTTTGGCGTCATGCCTATTTCATCATTGCCATCATGTTATTCGATTCAGATACATGGACGATGATGATGAAGGAATACGTAACCGGCCAGCAGTTATATAAACTGACCATGGGCATTAATAAGCCAGGTCACTGTTTAAGGTGAAGTTGAAGCTTTGGACAAGGTAAAACACATAGAAATATTGCTATAAATTACTCACTTGCATATGACAAATGTAAAAGTTATTGTAATCATAAAATGCATCATGTCTCTCATGTAGTTCATCTGCACGGAGTGCCCTCGTAACCTTCTGGGCAAATTTGTCGATTCTGATAATGAAATTTAAGAATATCTTCAATGCATTCACAGAAATATTATAAGCAGAAATATCATGCCGTATTAATAGTTTTTTTCATTGTGGTAAGGATTAAATTTTCAAATTGCACTTAATAAAATCGCGTTTTATGGACAATGTTATATTGATATTATCCAAAATTCCAGAATTTACCTTCGGAACTTGCGCGACGTCTTCGGGCGTAATATTGGTGTAGTCGAAAAGGTAGAAAGGCGATAAATCCTCCAGCTGCTTGCGTCACTTGAACGGATGTCACAACCAGAATTATTAGTGTCACAAAAAAGAGGAATAAACATAATATGTAGGATACCGATTTCAGTGGTGGAAACATATAGCTAAAGTGAAAACATAAGATAATTTAAAATCTGAAACTAAATGTAATGTGTATTCAAAATGAAGTGATTTCGTTATTCGCAGAACAGAAAGCGTATAAAAACACCAGTTAGCTTCAAACACTTCCGGCAATAGTCAGTCAACATATGTCAAAATTCAATGCAGTGAAGCTATTAGACAATAAAGCTAATGAGTTTCGTGTGACCCACTTTAGAGCATGCTTAGATCAAATTTCTTTATCGCAACCGTAATTACCGCGTGTTTTCACACCTTTTTCGAAAGAGAGAGATGATTCATATATCCCACTATGGAACAAGTGAGATTGGGATGGACGATGATAAATTGAGGCTGATAAATTGAGCCACGAAAAACTATATCGCGGATATGAAGACCCCAAGTTTCTGATTTTGTTGTTTATTCAGTACAGACCAGGTAAATCTTTGAAGCTACCAAACCAAAAGTTTTACCAAGTTCTGCATCATGTGCGAAACTTGCCAATAAATCTAAATGAAAATACAACATGAAAATTATCCATCCCCCATCTAGTATCCCACCGAATTAACCGCCTTAATAATTCCCTATAAAATATTAATATAGATCGGCTTCGCAACTGATGGCTTAGAAGGGTCACAATGCATTTTTGTTGGCAATAATCGTAGAACGGTTCACAATTTTCTACTGTTGGCAGTAATCGCAAAACGATGAATTGTGAAACTATCGTAGCTGGTCTTTTCCTAAAAAATATTATAGTAAAATGCACAAAATATTCCATTTCTATTTTACCTGCATCCATGATTTTCGAAACACCGACTGGCATTTACACTCTGAATGCGACCGGCTTCGACAAAACATGCACAGGCTTCGCCACAATTCCAGAATAGTGGTATAATTCCTGAAATTTACAATCAGTTCACTTCACTATATATAATTATGTTTAGTGTTAGGGTAATACGTATACCTTACATATTGCATGAATGATAGCACTTTCACGTGTTTCTAATCCCATTCAAAAAGATTAATAATCAGTTGCATGGGACTAAATTGTAAAGTGTGTAACCAAGTACCGCTGGCCGTCAGGTTTTTGGCGGTTCAAGTGTAGATAAAGTGTCGTGAAACACGCAATGCATATCGCTTCTGCGTACTGCGATGACCGGGGTAGTAATGACGTCTCTAATTAGCGTCTCACCTCAAAACAACGTCATTCCATATTTTATTGCATTCGAGTTCCTACCTTAAAAATGGCACATTTCCCGTCTGGCAAACGCGTCATAATCATTCTGACGCCCTGGACTATAAGTATATATAATTTGAAATTAATCAACTTACCAAGAATCAACGAGACTGTCCAAACGAAGATTGTCATTCGGTAACTCACTTTTCTGGAAAGTATACCAGAGGGTGCTTTGCCGCTTTCTTTCGACTTCCTAAAAATATAACAGACCAGGATACTAAAATGGCAAAGGGATCGCTAGTCTTAAACCACAACCATTTAACTTATAATGCTAGAAGGCTAATTTGGCTGTTATACAGTACGTTTAGGCAGCCGAAGAAAAAAAGGCAAACTTAACTCGGCAATTTAATATTCAAATCAAAATATAACCAGTATTTTTAAATTCGTGACTATGGAGGACCCTAATCATTTTAACACATATATGTCGTAGTGAAGAGGAATCCCAATGTCTATACCAGTGGTTCTTAAACTTTTAGAGCCGCGCCCCCCTTTAATTTTTTTTACAAATTTCGCGCCCCCCCCCTCTTTTTGCTTTGAAAAAATGCTTTTTTGTGATAGACAGGTTGTTATATATTAAGATGGCGCTATAGGAGTGTTGTTCTCATAGCGTCATTGCTCAGGTTGTTTAGGCATAAAACGCTTCGGAGTACAACTTCGCCATTCACTGTCGTATGTATAAAGCCAAATGAGGGTTGGTCATCATACATCCTCGTTTTTCCGCCTAGTTTGCAATACCTGGCAAAATCGAACTAATTATTAAGTAAAACTAAACAAGCAATAAACCTATGCTTTAATGTATTTTCTGCCCAAACGTTTACATAAGACATGTAAAATTTCAATCAATTGTTTACTTCATCACTATTGAGCAATGCAAAATTTTTTACTGTGTGTTAAAAATAAGCAACAATTACAGACTTCTTGGCTTCACTAACGTTTCAAACAAAATGGAGAAGTGCAAATGAATTTATGTAAATTTAAAAGCAGTTCATTTTTTAATAGTCATTATGCATGTGGACGTTTCCCCGGTCCTTGACCGCTGAAAAATAAAGTCGCTAAGGCGTTTGCGATTGCATTTTGTTTTAATCCCCATTGTTTACGTCAACGTGGCGTGTTATTTAAGCCCTAAAAATCTCGATTTCGGTGTTTATTCTCCCTAAATCCGAAATTTCCCTCGACATATTCTTGTGCCGTGAAGACCATTCTAATTACTTTTTTTTTGTTTTCGAATGGAACCATGACACCTCTGAGGAAAACGAGTTAGTTTTTATTATATAACCATCAGCGACGAGATGCTAATGATAGAATAAAGAAGTGAATCCGTAACTAATAATTAAATATACTTTCTGGGATATTATACCAGATCGTTCTAATGACGACAACGAATTCGCATGAGTGCAATATATATAAAAACTAAATATAATCGGGCAGTTGATCACACTTTATTATGACCGCGGATTGGCGTGGTATTTTAGATAGGTAATGAGTTTATTTTGTCGTGAGTCGCCGCAACCGCGAGTTACCTTGAGCACATATGAATTAAAATAGAAAGACATTTTGAATTATCGTAGTTATTACGAGACAGAAAAATTTATTATAACACAAAAAGCCGGTATTTTTAACGAAAGCGGAGACCGTTTCAGGAGCCGTTCCATGTAAATTTCCGATTCCATCTTGTGACCTCTCGCCCCTACCCCAGACCAACCCCCCTGTGAGCATCTCGCGCCCCAGTTTAAGAACCACTAGTCTATACCGTCTATTTGAACCCAGTACATTCACGTATGTTCAGTCGTTTAATATTCATGAATACAAATTGATAATAAAATGAATTATGAATGGCTTCACAGAATCGTTTCATTCATAAGGTAACGACATTTGGGTAAGAAAAGACGTATATTAAAATCCGTTAAAATACTTTTCCATATGAATAAAAACAAACCCCAAGGGACTTTTCGGTGTAGATCCACTGGGCGCCAACGCATCAACATATTTCTTGAATGCAATAACGAGACATGCAGCGTTTCCTGTTGATGCTACTTGTGCGGTCAGCAGAGTTGTGGCACGTATCAAGTAAAACCACGACGATAACCCCATTCTGTCAACCGCTGAAATGAAAAATTGCATATATACTTATTTTTGTAACAAATTTGCGGTGAGTATTTATTGCAGGATATATTAGCACCATAGCGTTAATTCCGATGTCATAAAAATAACTACCAGTTTGAGACGATCATAGAGTGGTGATTACTGATTAGCAATGCATATTGCATTCTTTTCAATCGTCATGCATTGAGTTGAGCTGATGACGAAAATATTTTTGACCAAATGAAATTAAGGGTGAATGCCGTCGTACGCTTTATCAGGACATTGTGCATTGGGCGGGCTTTACTTTACTGAAAGGTGCAAGAGACTCACAAAGTATGACCGTACTTTGTAATTTAAAATTATTGACATTAGCCAGCGATTCTCGGCTTCATTCCGTGCGCTGCGTACATAGGGTATATGTGGTAATAACTTAAATTTAAAAACAAGGTTAAGAAACCCAATGCTCTAATATTATGTCATAATATACCTAAGGCATGGTGTCATAATTCCCGTTTTCAGTCGCTTGGCCTGGTATCATTCTATATACAGTAGTAGTGTGAAATATATGCGTCTTCCTTTGTCGTTATATATATACGATTTTAGATTTGTACACGTAGGGTGATTTTATGTATAAGACAACCGTTACGCTCATTTGCTTTAAAATTGAAAATCGCCCCAAAATTCAATACAACGTTTCTTTAGTATCAATTGCATAGGCATATAATATGCGTCTCGCGATTCGCGAATTTGCTCTATTGATGACTAATACTCAATATATGTGGTTCAACAAATCATCCGTATTTTTTTATTACTGTATTTTGTAACCTAACCTTATTTGCGGAACCTGTCAAAATGACATATTTTATTATTTATAAATTACCAATATATACCATACCAGTGCTTTTGTATTCTTTCGGTGCTAAGCTACACATGAAGGGTGTTGTTGAAAACTCAATATTTAGACAAATATCATGAATCGAATTTTGGGTAGATTTTTTAAAATTTTGTTTAAAAACTGCGAACACAGAACATTGAATTTTGTCGAATATTTGGTTCAGCTCAACGCAATTTCGAGTTCCGTCAATAAAGTCTTTTTTCTATAATAAAGGGGGAAATAAAACTGAGATCTTCCGTACAAAGCCCCCGTCAAAAAAACTGGAAAACTGAAAGACTGGAAAAAGTCTATAATCTCGACATGAATAAAATTTAATACTTATTAAACAACATTACTAACCTTCGTTTTGCAAGCTCTCTTCATCGCTGGTTGATAATCCTATCACTATCGAGTTTATTATGTGAATAAATCCCAATAGACAATCCGAAAAAGCAATGCTCAAAGCAAAAATATAGATATTTTGTCTCAAACTTTTCCAACTGTACAGTAATGCTATCACAACTATCGCGTTTTCCAAGAAACTCGCCGAGGCAATAATCAATCGAATGATTGGTTCATGCACTTGTGTCGTATGGGTAACATTTCCTCCTTCAGTGAGCATGAAAGTTTTACATTCGTAAGACGTATAATATGTTTCATTGAAATTTCTACTTTCTTTTGTTGTTGATTCTTGTATATCAAAAGTGCTCATATTACCAGAAACCATGGTTGTCGCTATATCCAGCGTGCTGCTGACAGACGTCGCGTCTCCAGAGAAAGCCATGTCATATATTGGCGTACTTTGATACATAGCTTTTAGATGTTAGAAACGCAACGTACACATTTGTGGAATAGAAACCTACATATGGCCTGAGAATTTTCCACGCGAGGATTTTTCCGCTTGCGTAAGTCGACCTATAGGCGTGAAATCTTTTCAATAGTGCAGCACATCGTTCACGCCATTTCCTACGAAACCGCTTACTCAGCTCCGAATATATCTGACAAACACTGGTTACATTTTGACGAAAATGCGCGACAGCTGAAAGGTGTTTTCTTCGATATATATGTAGCGATACACAGTTATGGAGGAAAAACACCGCATGCCATTAAATTACCTATTGTTGAATGTGTGACATTCACCATTCTATTTTAAAAAAACCAACGCGTATTTAATAAAAATAAATACGTTTTTGAATAGGCGGCATGTAATGTCTGCTCGTGTAATGTTTTTGGTCCATTTTAAGTTCCCAAAGTTCATGTGTTTAAATCCTAATTCTGTATGATTGACCTTTTCGGGCAATACACCTCGCAAAACATTCGAGTCAATCATTTCCTCTGCCCGAACTCGATATTGTCTAGCTCCCGGTATTCCAACGCATGTTTGTGTCTCATTCGACCAGTCATCATACGAAATAACATGTTATGCTAAGTAATTTCGCTCATGAGAAATAAATCGAAACCCGGACTTGCCGAACAGAGATGGATGTTGCCCGACCCTCGACTCAAACTTCTTACTATATAAATATACAGGGTGTCTCAAAAGTATGTACGATACCTGAATTTTACTACTCATCCATACTAAGTTTTCCGAAGAAATGAACGCTTTATGATGAGTACCTGAAAAGCAAGCCAAAATTAAAAGTGTATATATACTTACTTTTGTGACACCCTGTATATATATTTGACTATTGAAAGTTTTTCCAATCTTATATATAAGTGTTTTCGTGTGATGGCACTTACAAACAGATTTAGTTGTTTTACAACAGTTCTTTTGATTCGATTAATAATACGGGTATCGGGGTATGTAGCTTATTCCGTAAGGGATGGATTATAACATCTAAACTTTAGATTCTAAAGTGTAGGCCTACATTTCAGCGTTGACCGCGCGCGGGCCATGTAAAGTGAGCCGTTCCCAGTAATTTCTGTATTTTTTCTGTAGGTCTGAATGCAGCTCTAACAAACCATTTACTGATCTGTACGCTGATTCCGAATATTCAGAGCTGTGACTGCATATGAATTAGATTTTGGGATTCCATTAGTGGCTGTTATTCAATAGACCGTGTCCTACCTAATTAAATTAGGCTGGGAGTCACGATCACGCATTTTGATAAATTTTAAATAAACAAGCTATTTGAGGTATTCAAATCAGTTGCATGTTGGGCACTCAAATACGAAATAAGTTTCGTTTTGTAGCAATCGAATCACAGCATGTCTAATTTTGCAAAGAAGGATTTGCCATATTGGACGGGAACGGATACGTTTGAATAGGTGGCCGTACATTTGAACCCATGCGTATATCCACGGGTTCAATCTATATGCGGGTGCTAAAACCCATGGGTTAGGGTTAGTATGGGTTTAACTATCCGTGAAACAAAAAAAAATTCCATAGGTGCAATAGCATACAGGTGCAATTGTCATGGGTTCAAATGTAATGGCACCGTTTGAATATATTATAGGCTGTCAGCTGTCTGCGTGTAGATCATTTGTACGTGCGAGAGTTGTTTCTGACACTGACCACCTCCTGGTCGCATCGTTTCAGCAACCTGTCCATAACAAGAAATCATTTTGTCCATGATATTTTGCTCTCTTATTGTGTTGATATGTCGGCAAAAAATAAATAGAGCAACCATCCACCTCGAAGATTTAGGGATGCCTTCGGGACGGGAAGATTTCCACATCCAGCGTGAGTAAAACGCAAAGGTACACCAATGAGCATATGTATATATGCTCATTGGGTACACAAACAAACCGTTCGTGATTTTTATTCGATATTTCTCTGTTCTTTTCACGTTTTTATTATGCAGCAATATATTTCTAACATTTTTTGTTACGAGTTTTAACCATAATTGTAATTTATAAAAATATTATGTCAGAGTTTTGTGGGGGCGTTGAACGGAATAGGGCATTTGCAGGTAAATTGCATCCCTACTTTCTACTTACGAATGGGCTCCCGGAACTAATTGATTTCGCAGGTAGAGTTTCTACTGTGGTTGCGCGCAAAAATATTTGTTTCTTTTAGTTATTGATCACACGGCATTGTTAGTGGTCCTTGTTGAGTTAAAACGCATAAATTTCTAAAGAAAACTGCTCTTCAAATTCATTGTCACACTGACTTTCAACAAATTCGGTGAGAAACACGTTTTTATAACATTGTGCAACAGGATTTTGCAACCTACTTTTATTAATATGGCAGTGGCACTTAGGTACTGGTATAGGCTTTGCGGCGCAAAGAGATTGGAATTGCTCACACGTTTCAGATGAATTAAACTAAAAACTTGTTTCGTGGAAGACACCCCACATTCATAAATACCCAAGCCTGAATCTTCACTGGAGGAATAAACACACAAAGAGTTCTAACAACATATTTTTAGATGTTACAATGTTCTGCAGTCACTTATTAATGGCATTATTAACATAAATTGATGACATCGTCTATACCAAAAATTTCGACCAAACTGGACACACACAGTACACATCATATAAAAGAAATGGGAAAGCTCTGAAGTGCAATAAATAAATAATTTAACAAAAATAAACTACTTTGAATACAAAAAGCGATAAAATCAAATAAAAAGTGAGTGGTCAATACAATAGAAAGGATCCTAAAAATGATGTTTATTTTAAGGAACAGTTGATTAATTTTTTAATTTCAAAAATTAAATTATATAAAATAGGAACAGTGTTTTTTTAGATTAATTGAGGTCGAAAATGGTAGATTGATCTAGCATATAGTATTCAAAATATACAGAAAATTCGATTGAATAATTTTGCTTTCTTGGGGAAAAATTTCCTTGTCAACAGAATCTAACTAAAGAACTGACTGTGAATCTTCTAAACGTTACAAAGAAAAATACTGTTAAGTCACTTAAATTCATCACAAAATGATACCTCCTGAACACTGGCCAATGTAAAAGTGTTGCTGCAGCTACATTTGTTGGCACCAAGATACATGACGACAAAAAAATAACAGGTATCAAGTACAAAAAAAATAAATAAATTATGAAGCACAGTACATTATGGCACCAGGTGATGACTTGCTACAAAATTATGGTTAAAATACCACATTATTTCAACAACTTCTTATAATTGAAATACAATTAATAGGCAATAAAAAACACAATTTTCTGTTAATTACGTATTATTAATATACAATAAGACACAGCTGTTGTAGTCACATTGAATTATGTATGCCCATGAATACGGTTTGCAAGCAAATTCCAATTATTAATTTTTAATGAGACGGTTACGGATATCTGAAGAGTACAATACCCCAAACTTCTAAAAATACATTACTTTGATTTTGAATGTTATACAGAATTGTGTGCAAATAGTCATAGTGTAGATGTTAATTTGGATTGGAATCATATATTTGCAAATTTTATAAATTACCATTTGCGTCACCAAATGAGAACTTAAATTAGGAGTCTGCAGATTTGAAACTCAACAAAAAAGAGGTGACTGTATCTCACAAACTGAAAGCTTTGAATAATCCTAGGATTGGAATTAGTCCCACTCTTAACCCACTCCAATCAAAATGTTTTGGATTGATAGAGTTGGCAAAAAAGCTTTCAACTTCACTTACTGAGCTCAATTTGCTCATCATAATCATACCAGCAGAATTGGCTTGATTTTCATGAATAAACTAATGATTGAAGTATGGTAAAATTATGTCGTGAATGCCGTTTATCACTGGGATATCAAAACAAATATGATGACATAATATTCAATTTTGGCTGTTTTTGCTCTTTCGGAATTTATAAAATATAACTTGACATAAGTCATTCTATATCAAAATGAATTATAAATAAAAGCTAAATTCAAAATATACCTCAATATTTCCAAATTGATAAAATATAAATAATCAGTGCAAGTGCTGAAGTGAATGTGGAGTTGTGCAAAAGTGAGTGTGAGCAGTAAACATAAAATTGGGAAGATATCAAGCTATGAAACCATACAATATTTTTAGCGGAAGCGAAAATCATCAAGTTTGACATGGCCTAACAATGTTTTTCTCTTTATTAAAAGCATTTGGGATTTCAGAATTTTCTTAAAAATCATCCGTGTTACTTGATTTTTAATGGAAAACGCTTCTGGCATTCGATGCGAATACTCATCTCAGAATAAAATGCTAATTTTTATAAAAAAAAATGGAACATTAACAATGTAGCAAATAGCAATAGCTAATTAAATCACAGTAGCAATACCTATAAAATATAATAGGTAGATATATGAAGGCGTCAGTCAATGTTGAATATCGCACAGCTGAACTTTGACATCTTACTGCGAAGAGTCTTCTTGTGCTAATGGGACCAGTTGAGAGAAATGAGAAGATATTTTTTTATAAAGTCGAATTGCAACAGGACAGAAATCAGTTTTCCAATTGTTCAAAACATATTGCTTTATATCTTCTTCCCAGCCAGTAGAATCGAGTAGTGTAAATGGAGCATTCTCTTGAAGATAGGCATGAAGAATTTCCATAAGAGAATCCGCATCTTTAGATGATAAAACTGATGTAGTTGAAGATTGGATAGATTCACAAAGATTCCAGAGTAATTGACAAGCAACTCCACCGACTCGCCATTCCATAGGAGCAAAATCTTTTAGGACGTCACACAGTTTTGAAATTACACCTTCCTCAATAACACATGCTCTGTATGCTTTATTGGCTGTCATATTTATCAAAACACCACAAGCAGAGTAGACCATTTGCCAAGTGCTGGAGTCCAAAAATGCCACCATCATTAAATCTACTTGTCGATTATGGAGAAGTTGTCTGACATCAGCATGCTGACTCACATTTCCAAATACTCTTGTTGCTTCCATCACACATGCCATGTTATCAGAGAGTAAAATGTTCGTCAATATATTTACAATTAAAAATCTGCTTTCAAACACAGCATTGTCATCATAACTGTAAAACGACAAATTGTTTAAAGTAGTCAGTGTGTTTATGATTAACTCTTCTGAATCATCAATTTGGACTTGTTGTAAAATAGACAAAATTACTTCAACAGATTGGGCGTCGAAAGCTATATTTTGACCAATTTCTTCACTGATTGATAAGTTGGCAATTACTCTCACAATCTTATTGACAGTATCCAAGCATTTATCACCAACTTCTTTATCATTAGAGTCACTGTTATCATCCTTGCTTGTTAAAAATGATGACAAGAAATGAAGGAGAACTGAATTTAAAACAGACAAATATTTGAAACCACTTTGGCTTGTAGTTTCTTTGTTCAATCCAGTGGCAAAAATCAGCATTCTTGCATGGTCTTCTTTAGCTGTTATATTTCCAAGGGCAAAGCACAGTCGTACTACAATATTGGAACATTTTTCATGCATTTCCAACGCATGTAAAATGGAAGTAGCCCAATCTGGGCTGCTGAAAACTTCTCCATGCAATTCACTGTACATTGTGAGTTTGCTCAATAATCGAGAAATGTTGAGAGTCAGTGTTTCATCTGATCCTAAAACTTTCAATGCGGCAAACAGATGAGTAAACAATCCACTATTTGAGAAAGCATGCTTTTCAACATCGGCCATGCTTCTTAAAACAGCTGTAGCTTGAATTAAGATATCAGTGGCTCGGAGTTTTTCCTTCTTCTGATTATTACGCTCATGCAGAGATAACATTGTATTGCTGAGTAAAGATATAAACGAAGTTATACAATCCTTATTTGCAAGTTCTATTGCCACTGCCTTGTTATCAGAAAGAAATTTGATGGCTCCAGTAAGATATACCAAAGTTTCATAATTGTCGAGTGGATCCACAAAATTTACAATCAGTTTGAGCATGCCATCTGGAAGGTTATTCTCTATGAAAGCATCATCAAACCTTTTCTCTCTACTGATTTTAAAAAGCATTTTGCATACACTGTTAAGATTTTGTCTCCGAACCTGTAGATCCAATATTATTCTTGCACATGCCAAGTGGACAGGGGTGCTAACACTGTTTAATTGTTTGAAAAGTGTAGATAGCAGTGATGTTCTTCGTCGTCCTAAAATACTGTTCAAGCAATTTCCTTTGTTCAAAGCACAGTGTAGTTTGACACATACTTCATAGGCGGCTTCCTTTGATAAACTTGGGTCCTCGAGAGCTTCTAAAAGAGGTAATACATTTTGATTCCAGTACTTTGCTTGATCAGGAGTTTCTTCTCCAGTATTGGTTCCTGAACCACCTCCTGATCGTTTTTTTCGTGGAATATTTTGCTGCTCCACTGATCCAGCAGAAGATGAAGAGCTTGCTGAATTTCTGGGATGACTAACAACAGGATTATCTACATTTCGATATAATTCACTCAGGTTTATATTGATAGCTGATGCACTATGTGGTTTGACTCTTGATTTTCCTTTGTATGTTGGTGGTGATGGTTTTGATTGGACAATCGGTTCCGCTAAATTAATTGTACCTTCACCAGCACTATGTACATTTCTGACTGCGGTTGTTGGTGAACCCATTGCACCACTATTTCCAATGTCTTTTTGATCAGGATGAAAAGCTTTCATTGGCAAATTTCCAACAGATTGCTGTTTTGGGCTTGGAAATAAATTTCGTGATTGACTTCTCACTGACCAATCTTGTCTATGAACACTTCTGGGTGGCATAGGAATATGAACTTTAGAAATCACAGGCTCTGCATTGGCTGGAACAGTCGGGGCTTTTGTTAGTGGTGCCAACTTCACAGATGCTGCAGAAGCTGGCCTAGATCCTGGGTCACTAGGATCAAAATGATGAGAGCTTATACTGATAGCAGAAGGTGGCCTCGACCCAGACTCTCTACCGATTTCAAATAACTTTCGAGTGTAATCCTTGGGAGTGCTAGGCCGCCTTGTTTTAACACTAGCTAGTGCAGTCCATTGTTTTGCTTCTTTAATAACATCGCTGCTCCTAACTTTTGGTGACAGAGAAAGAGGTCGATCATTTGAAGATGAAGCTTTTTGCCTCATATGAGGTGATCTATTTTGATAATCCATTTTCTATTTGCGTAGGAATATTCAACTTGTCCCAAACACAAATTGGCAATGTACCATCATTCAAGGTGTCTAATTGCCTTCTGAAATAACTAATTACAGAATTATGATAAAATTTTCAGTTATTATACTATATTCAAATTTCAGAGATCAAGTATGGTAACACAAATACTTCAAGTGGGGTGGAATAAACATTTTTTGCATAAGTCATTCCTAACCACTATCTGACTACGTCATCCAAAAATTATGTTACAGTGACGTAATGAGGCCTGTCAAAATATCCAAACAGACACACAAATCGCGCAGATGATCATCTGAAATGATTCAACAACGAGAGAGTATGACGTAGCTTGTTCAATTTCGGGGGATCGTCTATGCGTTTCGGATGATATTTCAGCCGCCGTTATTGCATCACTGTGATATAAAATTTGGATGATGTAATCAAATAGAGGTTAGGAATGACATAAGCAAAAATTGTTGAGAGAGAGATTTATTGTTTTAGCAACCAGAAAACAAGCGACAGTACAAAAAATATATACATAATACACATTGTTAAATTATTATTACCGTATTTTGTTATTGTAGAAAACTATTTATTGAATACTGACATATTAACTCAACATATTATGTGTCGAGCTGGATGGACATTGTTTGTCACATCAAAAATTTCCGCTCAAAGTAACAGCTAAGAACACATCAGTGGATAATGTTTGAAACAGGGGATAATTAGAATGATTAGGAAAAGACTGAAGACCTTGAAAATTCATCATGATGAAAAGTCTATGGTCAAGTCTCGGATTATTTAATTTAACAACACTGTAATAGGTCATACTTAGCCAATCAAAGTACATTAAGTTCAATTGAGCTTCAAATGACAACAAATACAGACAAAATGAAGGCAACTACTGACTACATGAAAGGGAATTTCCACAATCAAGACATGCGAGGGAAAGAAACATATTGTACACAGCTAGCTGGGATATGTTAAAACTTAATAATGTGAAAAAATTGATTGCTGCCTCATATTCATGGAACTCATATTGAAATTATTTATCATGCACTATACATTTTGCTGAAATATTTATCACTGTTATTAAATGTTGAAATGCCCTTTATTTCAACCCAGAGAATTACTGTTGGGATCTTCCCCCAATTCTAGGATGGGTGAGTACGGTAATTAGATTTCGGGGGGCGTACTCAGTGATGAGCTGGAAAAATCTAACAACCGTGACGCACTTAATTCGCAAAATGCAATATATTTACAACACGATGCGGACGTTTACAGAATGTTTCGACTGTCTTATTAAGATAGAGTCGAAGAACTGCAATGAAATATGAAGAAATTATCTGAAATATGTCTGTGTAGAATTACAGGAATATTTACAGCAATTCAATACAAATGTTTTTTTAGAAAGGTATAGGATGAATTTCCATGGGGTCAAAGGTCGGGGAAATATCTATTAGCCTACACGTTACTTCTGTACGAATTATTTGTGTGATGTGATGTAAAAAGAATTACGAATTAAAATGTAACAAAACATATATTAATCACTAGTTTAACTAGAGGAACTGGACTTTTTGTACCATAATTTTATTTTAACAACTGGAACGCAAATGCAATAAAGTGTCCAACAACCGGAACGCTGTTCCAGTGCGTTCCGGCTACAGCCCACCACTGGGCGTACTAAAAGTGTACATAATTACATGGAGTTTAAAAAATAATGGAACATCTAATGTAACATTTTAAGATACAGCAATCATCAATCTCAGGTAGAGTATAGTTGAGTCGATATAGACAAAATTGGGCATTCAAGAAGTTCAAAATCTCATCATTTTGATATGTAAAATTTACAAATAAACCGCATTTACAAAATGTGATCACAAAGAGCCACGCTAACCAGAAGTATTTGTGGTACTAAACTATACTAGGACAGACTCTTGTCACATAGTCTACTGCTGTACTACTGCTTAAATTAGACTTAATACTGTGCGGTAATACAGAAATATGTACGGTATGTGGCAGAGTCACTAATCTTCACCACTAGAGACAGCACAAGTTATATGCTAGCACCTCATTCCCCCAAGGATATAGTAGTGACCAGCAGAACATAATTTAGGTATGAAAATGTTCAGTGTGCTAATTCTGTACTCTGTAATGGCAGGATGCAGGATTTGAGGGTCTCGTGTAGTTTCGTATCTAACGTACTTCTAGTAGGCGTAGCATAACAATTTTTTGATATGTCAATCCTAACCCCCATTTGACTACGTCATCCAGAAATTATGTCACTATGACATCACAGCATAGAGCTTGCCAGATATACGTACTATCGCCCGAAATGTCGTCGGCGCCGACGATAAAGAACTGACAAACGTCATCGATCTCTCTCCTATTGGGATCGTAATGACGTAAAAACGAGAGAAATAACTGTTCGATTTCGGGTGCTCGTCTGCGCGTCTTAGATGGCAGTTCGTATAGTTTGAAGGGCTCTATCACGTCGCTGTAACATAATTTTTGGATGGCCTAGTCAGGTGTGGATCAGGATTGACACGTGAAAAAATTGTTATGCCACCCCCAATATTATTTCCTAGCTTTTTACTAGAATTTCAACCATTCATAGCCATGTTATAGGGAGTGTTACAAAAAGGACTCATTTCATGCCGTGATTTTCATCAATAAAAAAAATCGCTCAAAACAGTAGGCATACTTATTTGGGAAAAAATTCTGTCAAATATTAAAGAATATTCACTTGTAACATTCAATGAACAATTAAAAATTCATCTCCTAAATGGCTATGAATAGATGAAAAAAAAAAACATGTGTTAGTTACCTTTATTTAAGTTCTGTTATTATTAGGGTGGCTTACCCGCTTTGCGGCCACGACCTATTTGCGGCCATCAACTTCATCGATCTAATTAATGTCGAAAAAATTAGCGAACTGCAACGATATCTCATGCGTGATCGTCCTCTTGTCCCTCACAGCTCTGCGAAATTATACTAAAATGCGGCCACAAACAAAAAAGTTACGACCGAAAACCCGATCGAAGTAACAAAACAGGTTATTTTTTCATGTCGCCAACTACCCATTTTCCCATTAAAAAAACTTGAAAATCCATACAAATATAAGAGATAAAAAGATGAAACTTGGCAAGGGGGTAGAGATTTGTTTCTTTAAATCATCTTTAAATTTTTGCGTTTCTACATTTAAAGGAGGGGGAATAGGGGGGTGCGCATTTCCAATACGTCGATAACATCTTTGTAGACCAATTTGCGACCACCGTGTTTTCGTCTGTTTGATTGCTGTGATGCGGTGCTTTGTATATAATTTGACAACTTTTGTTCGAAATGAACGTGTTCTTAAAATATATGACGGTCAGAAATGCAATTAGAAGCCTAATTTTTTCACGCATGGCTGCGTATGCTCTAGTCTAGACGCAGCAGAAACGATGCTCATGGCTTGAAATCTGTGGTCGCACACTGTTCGTTCGATCGCAAATACGTCTGCCGAGTGTCGTACTTTGGTGGTTTGTATAGCTTTAACCCCTGGTCGTAGAAAGTTAATTCGAGGTTTAGCGTGTGGAATAAATGCCAATGCACCTTCGGTGAAAAAATTAACGGGTTAGAAATATTGGTTTTTGTTTTGAATGAATCGACCGCAGTTTGAATGAATCGAATCGTTTGAATGAAATCGACCGCAGACTGGCTACACCACCCTATATTATTGTGTGTAGTACAGTAGTATTGATGTGTTATACTGATGTCTAATATCTTACAGAACTTGAAGATAATAAAAGAAAATTATCTTGATTAACTTGCCCTCGTATACAATCAATCAATCATTTATTTTGTTCTTTGACATAAACAATACAAAAACTAAACGGACAAAACAAAATGCAGAGATATACCTGGGAGACGGGCATAACTCAAAATAAAGTTCAACAGCGTAGAATGTACGTGCCAGCCCAACAAAAAAATAAACAAACACAAGTATATCTACCGTAATAATAATTTTTGTCACTGCTCGTGCCCAATTAGCCAATTAGAACAATAGCCTTGTAACACATATGAAATACCGGTACCGGTGTAGACTAAAAACAATGCCACTATAAACAATTGACTAATGCCAGAATGTAGTTTTTTCATGGTTCATAGACGAATTCTTATCTTTTACTACAGTACTAGCAGCAATAGGCTACAACTGTGAAGCTAGCAGCAATCTCAGCCAGAATCTTTTTATACATTGAATATATAGTGTCACAGCCAGATACGGCCTATTGAGGTTTTCTGTGACCCCCTTCACCTGAGAATAACAATATTTTGCTACCGGTACTGCTTGTAACGTTAAATCAGTAAATGTACCGTACCGGTACCGTATCCAGGCTAATTATTAAGACTAATTCTAGAATATGAGAATGTCACTTTCAGTCTTTCACCATCACAACGGGACGCCGAACTAAAATTCTACGCTTCGATGGAATTCCACAGCCACACCACCTAGCGAACAGCACACGGTACCTCCATATCAGTACATTACATGAGTACACCAGTAGTCAGTACCTGCTCAACCCAAAGGGTTGAGCCTAAAAATAAGTTTAAAACGCAGCCTATTGAAGGCGTTCACCCACCGAAGAAGACAAGTCACAAACCTGAACAAATAAACGCGAATATTAACTCAAGCGTTTCACTTTGTAATCAGGCTGCGTGCTATTTATTCAAAACGGTTCCATTACATTTGAACCCATGACAATTGCACCTGTATGCTATTGTACCTATGAATTTGTTTTTGTTTTACGGATAGTTGAACCCATACTAACCCTAACCCATGGGTTTTAGCACCCGCATATAGATTGAACCCGTGGATATACACATGGGTTCAAATGTACGTGGGTTCAAATGTACGGTCACCATTCAAAACATATCGGTGCACTGAATAGCCACCGTACGATTGTAAGCACAATCTAAAAAATTACTTAGATAAGGTATGAATGCATGTCGCCGTTCCGTGTGAAAAATCAAAAATATATCCAGTGAAATTCATGATTTCGACTAAAACGTCCATGCAAAAATATATTGTGAGTTTTCAAATATTACGTTCATGCAGTTTAACATTTGTACATCAGGAGCGCAGTTCACCCACACTGTAGGATATATTCAGAATAAAAGCCATGTAGATAAAACATAAGGGTAGTAATGAGATGCAAAGAGTGCACTACTCCGACGCTGGAGACGGCTTAGTCAAACCGCATTCCACACCTATATATATATATAGTATGTTTTTGTCTCACGAAATCAGGCTCCTTGTCTATTACTTGTATCCTGCGCAACAATACACCCAACCCTCTTTCCCGGGTTACAACAAATTATCCCTACTTCACTTTAATAACAATTCTAGCCCTACAAGATACCTTCTCTGCAAATGGCCCATTTCAATTTGGTTACTGTCCTGGCCAGAGTACCCCTATATCGACACTTTCCTAGATTTTAAACAAACATATCTATTTTGCACATCTGCCAGAGCGATGTAATCTACTTGACTGATTTAACTGAACATGCAATGTAACGTAGGGATAAGGGCCACCTGTATAGGGCTAGTCTCCAAGACAAGCTTAACATTCGCCGCCATAGTGAAATCGATTTATACAACAACATACTGTAAATGTGGTGCAACTGACAGCAACCATCCTAATGCATTCGAAAACATTTTTAATTTTATTAAACACCAGATCTCAAAACAAATTAGTCATTCATTTCAAGAATGATAAAATTGATGTAAATTGATAATTTCATGAATTAAAAAAAAACCTCCATATGCTTGGATAATGTCTGCTGTATACTGCATAAAAGAAAATGACAGCATTAAACTACTACAGTAGCCAATAACAATTATAGCGGAAGAAAAAACATTTGCTTCATAGGTGACAAACTCATTAATACAAAGAAGCCAGCCAGGCAAATCAAATAAAACACCAGGAAATAATGGAGATATAGAACAGCAAAATATCATTAAATCGCGAGTATGACTTAAAAAACGCTTGAGCTCAAAATCTGTCATGTTCCATTCAATCAGAGAATCCGACACTTGATGATAAAGAAAAAAACTAATAATTAAAAAAATCATTTCAAAATCTGCATGGTTTTTTATTAACAATGAACCATTTTATCACAAAATTTCTACACTCGAGAGATGGACGGAATATAATTAACAAAAATGTCATAAGCATAGATCAATGTGTCACAGTTCTAAAAGAACTTGGTCAAAAGGAATGTCAAATTTGAGATGAAATGGTAAAACACAGTTTATATATTTCTAACGTGTAACAGGATTATAATGTTATATTAAATCAATGGAGTTGAATGAAATTCTTAAACATATCTTACATTATTCAACTCAACTTGAAAGGTATTTAAATATTTAGATATTTAAAATTGTTTTCATATGAGGCATATGGGTTGATACTATCCAGATTTTCATCCCAATTTTAGTCGTTCGACATTAATAATTATCAAAAAAGCATCATGACATGTAATTTAAATCTGCTTCCCCAAAACATTTCTTTCAAATTAAACTGAATTCATGTTAACGAAATGAAATGTTGCAAACGAAATCACATTGTAGCGCAACCGAAAATGATCAGCGCAAAAACATGTATTTATATCAAGAATATATCTATAAACTATCAAATTAGTGCAATAAAATATCATTCAAGCAATTAAACTGTATTTGAAAATGCTTCATGATACTGCTGTTGCTGTATGTAACAACTGGTGATTGTGATTATTTCAATGTCAATTATTTTAAGAGGTCCGTTCAGTAACTTGAGTCGGAAGAAGTTAAAAAAATTAATACCAGAAAATATATTTTCAACTAGCAGGCACAGAGCCAAATTAAAGGCATGAGTTTTCAAATTTGTGACTTGCGTTTGAAATTGATGCATGGGCTCTGCACTGGTGTCAGAGACTGGCATTAATGTAATTTATCTTATTACATTATAATCATGGGAGTTGATTTGATCATTGAGAAATGACATCATATTTAAACAATTTGTTTTCCCTTTTCACAAATCTCTCTAAAAGCTGGCTTATGCCCCAACACGAAAATTGGCAAAAAATTCCTTTGTCATCAATAAATTTGTGAATAGGTGAAAAAATCACTAACGCAAATAAGTTTAAGAATATGTACCTGAATAATAATAAGCTTATACCAAGCATCGATGAGAACACATTAAAATGTTTACAATAGATGTGAAAATGGCTGGAGTGTTGATGATAAAAGATAAAAACACTTTAAATGCTTATTTTCCAATTGCAACCAATAAAACTGAAATAATAATGGCACAAAAGAAGCATCTGCTACGATAGGATAAAATTTAATAACCATAAAAGTCTCTTCTTTAGGATATAATGGTAATTGGTAATATATATATCAATCTCATAAAGGTTGAGAAAAAAAGTTAGGAATGATAAAACAATTATATAAAATATCGATTCACTTGAATTACTTGATTTAATTAAAATATCTCATTTCTAGTAATGCCGATTTATGTTGTCTTCATCGTGATATATATATATGTATATATATATATTTACAGAAAATATGCTAGAACAACATCGTATACCCATTATTGAGAAACATTGATTGCGTTAGATATTCGAGCATATTTCCTCTTTTCAGTGGCCCATACTCGCTACAATAACAATTTCAGTTAACCACCACATGGTCAGGCAGTAGGAGGTGAACTGTTGACAATGAAATTAACAATCCTATGAATTGTCAGTGGAAGAACCGAGATTCATTCTTCGCATTCTTGAGGTAGCCGCCGCAACATGGAAAGCTTGCTGAAATTGAAAAATGAAAACTCAATTATTTTCGGACAATCTTTTATATTGTCTGGTGTGAACTACAGATTTCTTTTTTTAAAAAAGATAAATGTTTTCAGAACCTAAATGAAAACGTTTGGGGAATTGGGTAACATATCTAGACAATATAACAAATTTTTACCCTAACTATGAATTTACTAGAAAAATAACACAAATTTTATTGTATATGAAAATGATGGTTTTAATATCTGGTTGTTCCTAAAAACAATTACAATGATTTTTAGATCTTAATTGGCTTAAACCAAATCTCCATCTTTGAAAAGACAAAATAAAAGCACAAATATTGGGATGTGTAACACCACAGTTTCGATTTGATTTTTTAATGGTTCGATATTTCACTAGTTTTGAAAAACATTTTTCAAACAGTATATATCCAAATCCTCTACAAACTTATCATGTAAAGAATGAAATATAGACCACCAGAATTTATTTTTAACAACTTGACAAGAATTTTATTTCTTACAGATCTTTTATTAGTTAGAAGTGTATAAGAAAACCGTTAGTGGTCGATGGTAATTTCACTCAGCGAGCAATCTCCTTGTTTCTGACCGAGTGCCCATGACCTTACTGTGAGCAAATTCCTCAAAAAAATACACTTTTTTGACAAACGTATAGACCATATAACAACATACTTTCCATTTAGTTCTTGCGAAGTTTTTCTTCATGTTGGTACTGACATGTTGATGGATATTTTTTGTACTTGCTGCTCCTCCTGATATCCTGAATAACAAACACAAAAGCTTTTATTTTATATAAAACTATCAAATAAACAATGCCTCATTCCATATGAAAACAGAGCAGTGCTTGGACAAGTTCCATATGTATATGCATATATAAAACAGCAGACTACATTAGGGTATTATATGGACCGCATAGCCTGCTGTTAACTCTGTTTGGTGATGGGAAAAGATTACAATACATTCCTATTCTCAACCATACGAGTGGCTGACTAGTATATTATTATGTATCAGTATCATTCATTAATATGCATTGCTTTTACCAGTTGGCATATTGTTTTAAGGATTATGAAGAGGACCTACTGCTCCCACCACTAAAATGCCCTGCGGGGGTGTACAGGTACAAATCCTGTGGGAAATTATTACGGTATGTGTTAGCAGATTACTTGATTCATTGATGTTACAGGATTTGCATAACTACTGAATGTAGACTTCTCATATCTACTCTTTTATTGCATTGTAAAATAAATAAAGAAGTTCATGCATGCCAATTTTCAATAGTTATATCTATAGAAATAACAATATGATAATAAAAATGGTAATAACGTTTGTCAAGCATTTTGTTATGAAAAGCTTAAAATTTCTATTGGACAGGAGCATTAAAGTTTGAAAATCGTTGATAAACAAACAGAAATCCGAAATCTTAGTAACAAACAATTATCGGATACACGAGAACAAAGTACCTTTCTGGTTACCAAAAATCAAAAACCTAATTCTTCAATTCATAATAATTTATAGACGTTATCTAATTGTTACAGCAGATCTCAAATGGGCGGAATTCATCCAGAGGAACAAATTTTGTTGTTTTCGGAGAGGAGATAAAAAAATATTACTTTGTAGTTCGTGTAGTTTTACTAATATTATTTAGTCATACAGTCAGATCACTAGATGAAGATCCTTCAAAAATTAGATGTATAATGAGAACATAGTGACACAAAAAATAAAGTGTGAAAAGGAAGAATAAGGTTGGAAAGAACTTACAGCATTCAAACTACTATTTATTAAACTTTTTATAAATGATAATAATATATATAGAACACTTTACTTACCAGGGATCCTGCATTGCCTGTTTACAAGAATATCTTTTATCAGAATTTTTCTCCATCAACCTTCGTATAAAACTTTTGGCTGTAAACGAAAAACACAGAAAGAATAGTATTAATTAAATGATATACTCGAAGACATGAATGTTAAGGATTATTAGGATTAAATCAGAAAAAAAATTTTGTCACAATATTTTTAATTATAAAATAAGAAAACATCTGAGATTAGTTTTTACAAATACAGTAATGAATATTTCAATTCCAATAATTTAATGATAGATGCTCAATTCAGAGAAAATTTATTATCGTCCATAACTTCGACTTTTGTCTCAGATTCCTGGTGATGAAAGAGTTCGTTCCCAACTCTGATGTAATCAAGTATTAAATCCACTAACAGAACATTGGCATTTGCAAGCCTCTTAGTAAACTCCATGCTTTTTAAAAATCCATAGAAAAATTTGGGTAACTAATTTTGTTTGCCTAATTTACATCAAGTTGTGTAAAGGGACTGAAGCCTATGGGCAGGGGGTATATTCACTTTGCTAACACAGACAGTCCCCGAACTCGTAATAGAACTAAAATAAGGAAAATCGGAATAAAATTATGGCTTAACCCTAACCTCGCACACATACTACGGGAGTATTAAAATTTGACTCCTATTATCAACATTAAAAGTAAGAAATTCAGTATCGAACCCTGGGAAATTCAAAAACGTTGACTTCAACTTCCAACTGTTGGAAAATATAACCCTCGCTCCGACCTCAATGAAAACGGCATGGCATATTATATCCTACTTGGAATTATCAGGTCATTGAATCTCAACTTCAGTGACATAGGCTACGTCTTTAGTAATACATGGTATGACATGACAAATGATATTACCGTATATATCATTAGTACGTACCATATTTCACAATAGCATGATTTAAATAATTAAAATTTGTATTGATAAATTACTGGATATACTTTGACATGACTGCAAATGATATGAAATTAAATTCAAAAATTTTAGAAAATCTAATTAATTTTCCTAAAGGACACAGTTGTCCAATTTCAAACATTTGATTTCAGCTTTTCAATTGTTCAATACAGAATTTTGTTTTGTAAAAATGTATAAAAAACACAGACAAAGGATTTGCTACAGATTTAATCCAACATGATTATAGTTTTTATTTTCTGAAGCAATGTGGTTAGATAGTGGTATGGATATTTATAGTTTGACATTTTTCTCTTTAATTAATATTGATTTCAAATATTGACTTACTAAATTACATAACCCTCTGACATATAAGAAAAAAAACCACTGAATTTTCATTACTAAAGATAGTGTGGCAAATTTTATAGAAAAAGAGCTATCTCAACATCTCCTGCTATTGGTTCTGATATTCATCACTGTACCTGCCCTTTGGGGCTCGGTCCCATTTAGTAAAACGCTGAATACTGTCCATATTAGAACATTGGTTCCAAGTATAGTACGTAATCACACAAAGTGAAGATGGAAGAAAATGAAATCAAAAAAATATATCAAAAGATTACCTATTTCAAGACATCGCTCAAATAATAAATCAGCATGTCAGTGGTAAGGATGATTAAAATTGAAGTTGTTTTGACAAAATTTCAGTTTCAAAGAAACTAAAGTAAACATGATTTAAAGCTCGGAGTTCATAATAATATTATTAGTTAACATAACTTATACGATAGGACCACCAAAGAATTTATAATTTGTAATATTCAAAGAACGTAAATTTAAATTTTACCAAGGAAGAATTTCGTCAAATGCAAATTTTCGATTTATTTAAAAACTTGTTTTCATTAGAATTTTAGCATTTAAAGGATGGTGCGAAATAATAAAAAGTACAATATCAGTTTTAGAACAACAAATGACTCAATATCGCATTTCTAAATACAGAGCACATTTTTTATGACAAGTTTCATATTGTACAATAGCATGGATTACTGGACACGAAGTAGACCTGTGGATCCTTTCGTTATTATGTTGTAGTTGTCATTCTTGTTGGTATTTTGCTTCTTATTGTTATGAAAATAATCGCTTTCCTCATTAACTACTGAACCAATTTTCAGAGGTTAAAGATTGTATTATTATCTAGAATTTTTTTTATTCATTTCAAAAATTTCTGTGGTCTCTTTAGAATTCGTTTTTTTTTTGTGTGCGATAACATCATCAAAAATCGCTTTCGTGTTAGTTTGGAGATTGCCAAAGAGGTGGTGATAATATATAATAATTGCCAGCGAGAAGAGCCGCACAAAAACTCCAGCGAGCCGCATGCGGCTCACGAGTCTACTGTGATAGTTTGAATACCCGTACATGGCCGTACTACTTCCTTTTGGCCCTTTGCGTCTATAATTGATCATCACGTTGTTATCATCATCACGATCATCTTGTTGTTAACGTATTCAGAATTTTAAACTGAATTTAAAAAAAAACCTAGCATGACAACTAATTTGGATATGGAAGTACCAAAGGCTGACATACATCCTCGTGATTCAGAGACTGTTACATCCTGTTTTTGCCATGATGAATACATAATGGTACCTCCGTCATAGGACATTAGTCGTAACAGATTTCGATTATCTCAGCATTACTGGGAAGGGAATATGGGAAAAAATTAATCTAATCCAAATTCAGAACTTTAGAAATTGAATTTAAATATCATATTTACTTTGGATATAGGTCTACCAAAGAATCATTTTTTAATTCTTGTTCAAAATAGATACTTTTTATCTATAATATCATTACTGCTTATTATTTTTAGCATTAGAGAGCAATTGTAAATACTAAAACATATTAGACTAAATGGACTAAAATAGAGAATCAAAATAAAGAAATATAGATAAATTTATATTTTGCTCAAATGATACTGTGATTTCAGCATTATATGCCCTTTATTCCTCTGAATGTATTCTAATCGAAAATAAAAATAAATCATGAATATCCAATATAAAACAAATTATATAAGGAAAAGGTACAGAACAAACGAAGACATAAAGTTAGAGTGCAAAAAATATATTTGTTTCAGTCTATCTATGAATTTGCAAGAAGCTAAGTTTCAGTCATAAGATGCCACACGTGAAAAAAGATGCCAAAATATATCGATGAAGAAAAGAATTTATGCACTATATTGACTATGATCTATTAGCTCCATCTATTAGCAGTAGAATGAATTTGCTTTCAATAATAATATCCACGGTGTATTGAATTTTAGGGCAATGTCGAATCCAGTTGTTCTAAATATGGTAGATCTATCAGTTGCTATTTATCTAGGCTCTACAAATCTTTATCGCAGTGAAAATATGGAAACCTCATGAAAAAATATCATCATTTTCTAAAGTTTCTAGTTGAGGCTTGACTGCTTGAATTTTATCTGACAAACTAGTGTTTCAAAAAACTTCGAAAAATTATGGCCATTTTTTTTGAACTAATAAATCAAGAGCAGGAGCTAAGACTATGAAAAGATATAATAAATACTGTTGGACAGTGATAAACCTGAATTTTTTATTTTATATGGGTTTATGCATCTTTTGGTTGGAAGTTATTAATTAGTTCTTTTGTGAATAAAAATTATTTTATTATTGAACATGGATCGTTTGACACATGATATTATGGCAGGACATTCAGACATCTTATCGACAAAGCTCACTGTTCAGCTATGGTCTTACCAGTATCAATGTTAAATTCTTAAGCAGTAAGACTTGTTTTGCAATTTTGATACGGAGCTTCCGAATGATCGCATATGTTACCACCAGACACCAGTACAACATTTATTCATTGAACCTCCATGTCCATATTATACTAGAGCAGCATTTCTTAAACTTTTTTGTCCCAGAACACCTACCCTTTATATCTTGCTTCGCGGAACACCAAGAAATTAGAAGGTAAAATTGATAATCAAAAAATTGTGTAGAAGATCAACTTGCACAACCGGCTCATCACAACATCTTTTGAGGCTTCCAGTTTTAAGCCAACAATCCATTGAAAATGGTGGTTTCCAAAAAAATTTAGCCCACGGTAAAATTAAAAGTTTGCTGTAAACTTGACGACTAAAAAATTAGGCTGACCCGCCGGCGGTCAACGATATTGAACGGTTAACGAAAACACCATGCACCGCAGACTGGCACAAGGTCTGCCAGCCTGTTCAGATAGTGAGGCTTGTCTGCCTGTTTGTTGCCAGTTAGAAGACAAATTTACGATACAACGTCATCAAAGTATGGCCGAGATCGACATGATGACCAATTTAGTCACAATTTTGATCCCTGTCTTGCAGAACACTCCGAATAAGCTCGCGTAACAGCAGTGTTCCGCGGAACACAGTTTGAGAAACACTGTGCTAGAGCATAGTTCTTCTGTTTAGAATTTATAAAGAATGCTAACAAAGATGCTCGGAATCAGAAAACGCCAACAAAATTAAATTCAAAATTGAAATGTTTTAATTTCTTGCCCAATGTAACACCTATTTCTTAATCCTCTTGGCATTTACAAAGTGAAAAAATATTGATTATTCCCACTGCATTGTAAAAGCTGATGATTATTATCAATCAAAAATATTGACAGAATTCACAAAACATGACTACTCAATTGATCCATTTATTATTTGTAGAATGGATTTCTCAAGAGAGAATAAAGGTGTCAATAAATTAATCATTAATTTAGTCATCAACAAAAGGAATGCAGTATATTATTAATAATATCAACAGCCGGCTAATGTGTCAAGACTTTATTGTGTTGGTATCGTAGGGTATATATATATATATGAGGTTGAAATCATATGCTCAGCACATCACCCAAAGTGTAATAAATTAGGTAAAATATTAGCTCATAACATAATAATGGCTGACAGTACAGGGCCTTGTTCAGAGAGAAATGTGTTAATTTAAGTTAATTCTTACTATATATCCCATACACCACAATAAATATGTTGCTATTGTCATTTTTGATGTGATACTTTAGTTATGGTGCTGCTCTTTGGAGCTCGATTTTCAATAAATTTCGGGAAATTTTGAAACATATTCTTTGACTGTGGGATATGTGCCCACAATGGCACACAAGAACACTAAAGAGGCTGATAAATACCCCTGAACACCAACTATACAAAGTCAACAAATAATAAGGCAGAGATTTACGACAAAGTCAACAACGCAAGCGCACATTTTTGAGGTCGATTTAATCTTACAATACCAGACATTATATGAATGCACTAAGTACCCAACAATGAAAATATTGTTAATATAACAATCGAATCTTATTATAACAATTTAGAGTGATAAAGAGATTTAACAGTAGCATTTTTTACCTGAAAGTACATTCCTATCAGTAGATTCAACAAAGAAAAATTTTAAGATTGATTGACAATGTTAAATTGTTCCAAAGTCGTTAATGGCAAGACCATTCGCAGCCGGATTTCGAAATATCTGACAAAAGTAACTGTCAAAAAACAAGTGATGAATGCACTACAAAAATAACAGTACAGTTTTGTCTGGTTTGCCGACCAAATTGATAAAAACTCATGCTGGAAGAAATCAATTTTTTGTTTATTTATGATATGAAAAAATTTCTGACTTATTATAATAGTTTTTATTTTGAAATTTACACATAACAATAAATTTTTTAGAAAACGACACTTAATAGCAACATGAAATGTATGCTGTGCTCTTATTATTACCAAAAACAACAGAACTAGATAAAATCAGGCCACTAAGGATATAATACACTGTAAGAATTTGTTCAAACTATTTAAAAAATTTTCATTTCCGAAATGAAATTCATTTTAGAGAATGCATATTGCATTTTTGTTATGGTACATAGAGTGCTTAATACCTACAATAAATACCACCAATTAAATTCAAGAACATATCCCTATGAAACAAAGTAGGTCTACTTTTATGTGATATTGAAAATAAGTATTGCTTGGCAAATTGTCATAATATGTTTATATAAGGTAACCAAGGCAATAAAATACAATTGTACATTCCCATTGCCAAAGTGGTACCATGACAGCGGTTATTTATAAAATAAATCAAGTGTAGCCTAATTATACTCAGTGAGCATAATAGAAGAGATCAATTTCTTGAAATTATTTAAGCGAGACCTTCATCATATGCAAGGAATTTATTAATTTTTAGGGACGGTATGTCATGATTATTTGATCTATTTTTACAAAATGTTTGAGCTTCACTCTGAACAAGGCCTTAGAAGAGCACTTTATACAACATTTTTGGTTTCACATTGCCCTTATGGGATAAAATAATTCTGGATTGCAAAATTACAAAATTGAATACATGGAATATACTCTATTTTGGCTAGTTTGTGACTCATTGTGTGATAAGCAAAGGCAATGAATGATAAGAAAAACGAAAGTAATTACGGCAATAAACCATTAGTTACACATTATTCCGGTTATTACATACCATTAGATTCGCTCAGTACACAACTTGAAAAATCTGAGTACAAAAAGATAGGCGGCAGGGTGAGGCAATATCAATGCAACAACGGCTAACAAAAATGTAATAACGCCAAATAATGTACGTATTTTAAACATAACAGTCAAAAAGATTGCGGCAATGACATGAATAAATAATAGCATCAAATCCCAGGGTCAAACACATGAATAATACATTTTTCTAGTTTGCTCAATATGGCGTTCCAGTGACAAGTTTAGACAGAATAATGTATGAAAATTACAATTACCATATCACATAATGGCATTTTTGAAAAAAACATTACTAGGATAATCTGTTACTTCAGTAGTTAGATGAACACATTAGCCTGAAACCTTTTCCCCATGGGCTGGGTAAACAGATAGTTTACCAAAATTGAACACAAATTTATATTTCATTTTTAAAAAAAGTTTTGAGGTAAAAATTGAAACTTATACAGTAAACATAAAATTAAAAACCCTTCAAAAGCAAAAACAATGCATTTTAACGAATCATTTTCAAATCGTAAACTGACAATAAGATTATTTAGGGTGTTTATAAAGTACCATTACAATTTCAACTTTGTTATGAAGTAAGTTCTCTATATACCTCGTTCGGTTTTGTTTATTATAATCAGGGTTTATTTAAATTTTCTATTTCATTTAATACATCTGTAAGGGCAAACAAACTATATATGATATCGATAAATTCCTTTTGCCTTCAAAAAAATTAAGACTTTATATGCATACTGTATCACCCCTTGCCAGTTTACTGTTATAAAGTTCATATAGGATTGTAGAATTGCTGTTAAGCAGATTATATTTAACTGAAGCCCTAAGGAATAAAAGTATACGAATTTCATATCATAGTGATAGACCAAATGTTGAAATGTCTCTCGTAAAATCTATTTGATTAATATCATCTTACTGGAAGGTAGCTGTAGACACCCTTTGTGTAAATATTAGGTTAGAGCATCTGTCATACGAACCTCTTAACAAGGCAGTAACAACTAAGCAACAATGAGAATAATTTTTTTAGATGTATGAATTATGCTTACGGTAGTTATATTGTACCTCAAATTTGCATAATTCATCACACCACTCAGAGCCCATTCTGGGACCAAATCCCCAGGTGGAAAAAATCAATGAAATCAGATGAGATCTCTCAGTTCTAGAGTGCACTGTGAAATTTTATGGCAAGTTGGCCAAAATGCATACCCTAATTGCATTCAGTCATGCAATAGCGTATGAACGGGAAATTTAATCTGGGAATCGGTATGAGTCTCACAGTCAACCAAGCGCAATATTTATCCAATGCATAGCATTTGAGTAAGACAAGGAATGATCCAGAAAACAAAGCAATGCCAACTTCAATTTCAAATACTAAATAGGACAGAGATGGACAAATCCCAACTGCTAAATATTGAATAATTTTCAGTAAATTTATCATGGCTATGTAATCATAAAAAAAGTCCAAAATGAAACAAATGCTCAAATCAATTGAAAATTGATCATGTTCAATATTTTAATTTTTTAAAGTGAGGATCAATTTAGAATAGCTGTTATTTGAAAAGTTATTTTTTTAAGAAATTGAAGGCATACAGTATGACCAAAAAGGTCCTCATTCAATTTCTGGAAACTTTAAAAATATAAAACCAATCAAAGCATTGTAATAATTTTCTTGCAAACTGATTGAATATGCCTTTACATTTTTGTGTTCTTTGATGAACATGACCCAAATTAAACAATATTCGATATTCCATAATCTAAAACATTATTTTAGAATGTATTCTGCATAGATGATTTCAATTTTGGAAATTACTGATTATGTTATTATATTCCATATATATAGCTAAGCAATGAAGCTATATTAGATTGACTACATAGAATGCAGTTGATTGTCTTGCTTAACATGACCCAATTTAGAACATATTCTATATTCCATAATCTAAAATACTATTTTGAAATGTATTCTGCATAGATGATTACTCAATTTAGAAATTTCAGGTTATGTTATTGTATTCCAAGTATATAGCTTAACTAATGGAACTAATTATATTGAATTGACTATATAAAATGCAGGTGATTGTCGGAATGAAAAAATTTAAAAGATGTAGAACAATAATTGTACCTATATAACCTTATAACAGTAGACTAAACAGTTTGTATATAAGAACAATAAAACATACTCAGCTGTTTATGAGAATGAGTCAAAGTCTATACAGAACCTACAAGAAGCCACATACGAATGAGCAATCGCGTAATCTTTCCTTAATAAAATATTACAATAGTATTACTTACCTGCTTCTGAAATATCGTCCCAATAAGGCGAATCAAATTCATATTCCGCTTTCTTGATTTGATCGAAAAGTTCAGGATCTTCTTCCGCATAAAAAGGAGGATAACCGCAAAGTCTATGAAAAAATATAGTTTTAAAATCTGAATATCAATCCAATTCAATTTAGTGGGTATTGACCTCAAACATCAGGTACTGCTGCAGAATTAAAGCCTTTTACACTTCGCCCGGGCTGCTATACAGTAAACAAAAAATTTCAATAAGCAAAAATGGAAAAAATATTGTTCTTTTTTTTAAATTCCTATAGTGAGAGTAGGAGCAAACTTATCAAACGTTGTAGTGACACACATATATATTAAATATTTAGTAATTTTGCTGATTAAAATGAGGATATTGGTGTGACAGAATTACAGTATGCTTTATGGTTGTTCTATAATAATGATGTATAATATTAATGTGTATGCAAACGTTTTTCGTAAATGATAAAGATTTTGTGCTGCAAAATTCATAAATTTACAAAATCCAACCAGAACTCCTATTATAAAGAATTATAAATAAAAAAGATGTTCGAAAATAAAATACAATTCGACTAATATGAAAAGTTTGAATTGCACATTTTTTGTGAATCACATTTTAATGAATCAAGCGTTATTACCATTTACTGGCTATTCAATAACTCCTACAATTTCAAAACAATTTGCCGCAGCTGTAGTTGATTTTTCACTCAGACCAATATACTTACAATATGTATGTTATTACTCCCACCGACCATACATCGACAGCTTTTCCATATGGCTGTTGTAATAAAACTTCCGGCGCTGAAAGATATTTAATTACATCGTTGAGCTTGCGTTATTGTTAATCGAAAAAAGTTTTATTATGAATGCCATTTACGGCACGTAATATAACTAAATTATGTGGAAGACTGTAAAAACACATGCTTTGTGTCATAGCATTGTTAAATTTAGAATACCGCTATCAAGAATTTGCTTATGCGAAAATTCTAAGAATATAATTTCGGAATGGATGACATAAAAAAAGTATAGCAAAATCAATATTCAATCCACCGACATCCGGTTGTCAGAGACTTTTTGCTCTAAAAAGCCCTTGAAACAGCCATAATAATGCAGCTATATCCATAACTCAATGCAGCGCAAATATTTCATATATATAATTGACAAAAAATGCATCATAAAAATAATTTCAAATTCATGATCTTCAGAGTGCTATTCCATTGACCAATCAAAGCTTGTAGATTAAATATTAATCAAGTGTTGCAAAAAAATTTAAGTCTGTATTTTTAAACCTTTTATTGTTAAAAACATGTTCTGAAAACATAACTTATTATGAGCAAACTTCAAAATTTATTACTAACTGGATTGGATATTTTAACTGGATTAAATTCCAAGTTTTGAAGAATAGTCTTCAGCTGAAAATAATATTTTTCTCCATCATGCACTCAGTCTGATATTATACAATCAATACAATCACTCAAAACCAATATCAACACATCAGAGACGAAATGAATGAAAGATTCAATTTCAAGACAGCCTAGCAGTTAAAGCATTAGGCTTAACTATGTTAGCATCACAGGTTACACATATTGGGTTCAAATCCCATGGCTACCTGGTAATAAAAGAATCGAGAAGATTCCGTTCCTTCCAAAAAACAGTAGCTTCTTGCATCTTATTAGATAACAATGACTACTTGCACATGGTCTTGTTTAGAGCAAAAAATGTGGATAAATGCTGAATAAATGAATAACAAATGAACCGCCCATACCTACATAACCCGGTGTACCGCATGCCGTCTTAAGTGTTTTCCCTTCAACTACTGTTTTCGAGAGACCAAAATCACTCAACATGATTTTTGAATCTTCATTAGCTGTTGCATATAAAAGATTTTCAGGCTGAAAAAAGTACAAAAAAACTTTTGTAACTTTAACTTTTAACTGTGCCGTAGGGGTACAAAATAATTACAATACAATTCAGGAAAGTAGCTAAGCGTCAAATAAGGTTTAAAATACGAGACATAAAATGACTACATAGGCAATTTCCCCTTGTGACATAGAATAGTAGTTCCCCGCCTTTTTTCAAGCAAACCAAATTGAAAAAAAATTGATTTGGTAAAATCTCGCTACCCAAGAATATGCTGTAGGACTTTTACAACCAAAATTAAATAAATAATATAGAAAAATTAATTTTATACAACATTAATTTCCCCATAAATTGTTATAAGTTGAGAAACACTGACATAGAATATAGATGAAAAACATTGAGAAATTTTCTCTAATCAAACTTTAAGCTTATGATATTACGCAAAAATACTGAAAAAAAAAACTGACAAGATACTGTCAATATTCATTATCATAACAAGAGGCAAATTATAATGGGTTGATATGATACAGAATTAAAGTTACCTAATTATTATTGTTAATGAATATTGAAATGAATATTGTTAATATTAATTAAGAGGGAACCGCTTGGCTATGAAGAATCTCACAAAAAATAATTCCAAGTTTTAGTTTTGTGATATTCTTCAAAAACATTTGATTGGCAAAATAAACAGAGCCTCTGCAATAAACATATTTACTATTGCAACATTTACATAAAAGTTAATTAACATTTTGACTATGCACAAAGTTCTGTTTAAATGGAATTTTAATCCAAGCATAATGCATAACATTTGCGAGAATGCTAGTCTTTATGTTACAGCATTGATGTATCAATTATTAAGTGAAATATGCATTTGTGCGTGGTATGATTAAAAAAGAGAGAAAACATCATAAATTGTTGTAGCTCCAGAAGTATGTGCACCAAGATGGCGCACAACCTCAACGTAGTATGTGTACCAGGTTGGGGTTCAGGTTGTGCGCCATCTTGGTGCAGATACTTCGGGAGCGCCAAATTGTTTGTGTAAAAAGCTGCCTAATTGCTGTGCATCAATCATTAGCCACACACTATAGATAATAGGACGACCCATGCTGTAAATTGCCTGTAACGAGCTTGAATAGTTGAACATTTCCTACCGGCTAATTGACTAAATAAGCCATTATTGTACACGAAACAATGAATATCGAATATCATCAATGGGTATTACATAATCCATGCTATGGCTGAAAGGATTACAGTTCACATTACAAATTTACAAACAAATACGATAACAAGGAATGCCAGGAAAGACATTTTTATTGATATTCATATGTGACATGTCATTAACATATCTTATTTATTCAACTTTGCTTTTGCTATTTTACACTTTTCAAATAGATTAGGTAGGTTCTACATAACATAATAGGTTCTACATAATATAATATCAATCTCACAAAGTGATTTCTAAGATGGTTTTATATATTGGAACAATAAATGATGTAATAGCAGTATTCCACACAGGTCAAATGAGAGTAACATTTGTTTTCAGGTAGAATCCCATACAGAGAATCACTTATTGCTTGAGATAGTACACAGTAGACAATTTGAATTTTAATTAACCAATTTTAACATTGGTCGTAATATGATTATTTATACTGCCATATTTTACTGACACGTATCGTCAAATGGTAGAATAAAACTAGACGCATATTCACACAAAATAAGAAACAACACTTTGCGAATAAAGTAAATAAAAATAAAAAAAAATATTTATGTATTGTGAATAAACTAGTACAACTGTATCCCATCATGTGATAAATAAATGTACAATGTGTAAATGACTGATAAGTAATCTGCTATTGTGAAAAACAAATCATTATCCTAACTAAATGAACATTATACTGATAATCGACCACAAAGAATGTGATCCTAATGCACCTTTGCACATTCAATATGCATAATATTCCAGTAGGCCTAACTAGTTTTATTTTGTCCATATTGAAAGGGTTTGTGAAGATAGGCATTAACGACGTCTGCTTTGTAATATGGCTTGCTGACAAAATATTGATATCAATATATTGAACTCAGCGCATCCAAAACTTCACATATGCTATCTGTTCACTATAGTCGGTTCATTTAATTACCTTTGCTTTCAACAGATTAGTGTCCATATGTCAAAGACATTTATAAAAAGAGGATATGGGGATACAATATTGAACGATGAAAAATTATATGTAATACATCACAGACTTGTGATGATAATACAGCATGACCAATGGGCAGTCCGATGAACATTTACCAACATGAATAATTCAAAAAAGCATATATATATTATATATATATATATATATGAGTGTTGGCTTATGAGCTAATTTTATTAGTTTGACCACACATCATATCAGGAATCAGGATCATAACAAAACATGAATGTGGCAGATCATTATTGATTTTAGTAGCTGTGTATTACTTAACCCTGCTGGGCCCAATAAATACAGATGACTGACCTAATTAATTTTTACTGTTTTGCCATAAAATAGCAAAGCCATAAAACTCTTGTCACTGTTGTGGGCGTGATGAAGTGTCAAGCTGACAAGCACAACAGGCATTTTAATCACCTCAAAAGGTAGTTATTAAATTTTAATCAGCACATGTTGCACAGCAGCATTGTAAATAAATAATGATAAAAACAACATGACTTCTGTCGTCATTGTTTCAGATACAAAATGAAAATAATATAGAATTCACCTCAGCTTAGTGGTGAATGCTTACCCTGGAGGCATAATTTAAAGTTTGCTATGCTCATTGCAAGTACGTATGATAGTGATTGCATGAGCATATATGATTTATGACATTCTTACTTTGTGTAACTCGTAATTCTACTTCACTAATTTAATGCTTTCGTCCTTAGTACAAAGGAAATCAAAGAATTAGGTGTGACTTTCTTTTGGAACTCTGAAAGTTTTTGAGCTAGCATGGCATCAACATGCTCAAATTTGCAAAAGCACCCTTGGGCCTCTTTCATCCAATTGTGACAATCAGAATTTGACAACGTTTATAACGTACCATCATAAATCTATATAATCTCATTAGCTTATGACAATTCTAGTCGTTGTCCATAACTTTGCTCATAGTATGTATTCAAATTGTATCAGTATTCATAAAATTATTATGATTTATGGATTATTGCAAACAAAACAAAAAAGTACCTTAAGATCTCTGTGAACAATACCAGCATCATGAAGATACGAAACAGCGTCTAATATTTGACATACTACATCACTCGCATCTTTTTCTGTGTATTGTCCTTTTTCTAATATTCGATCAAATAGTTCCCCACCAGTTACACTAGAGAAAATAACAACAAATAATAATTAAATTCACAGTCAATATTATAGTCAATACATATCGATTAGAAGAGCGATTTAATAAAAATTCACATCAAAATAGTTAAGAAAAAGTTATCGAAATCAAAAACATACGGCATGATAGTTTATTTCAATTCAACTAATTCTTACTACCAGTATTCAAATTGAATCACATAAAATTTTAATCAATGCAGCATAAATCAATAGAAGGTATAAATAGAAAAAAACAACATGACTTACAGTTGCATCACCAAACACACTTGAGTAGGATTGCTAAAAATTTCAATAAGACGAACTATATTTGGATGCCTCAATCTGTAAATAAAGACAAAAATTTTTAATCCTTCGACAAATATTTCATACTCTTATATAATTTTTTTAGGGTGCTAGTGTACTCTGATGGCATAAACCATGCTGAATGGCATACTCATATACGATGTATACTAAAACGGCAAATTTTGATTGTGACATTTTATGTAGAATAGCCAACATGCTAACAAGCCAATAACCCTAATTTTTTGGTGGATAGATCGGATAAAAACCTGAATTTGTAAAATATAATCATATCACTTAAACAGTCCACAGTCCTAAAGGCTAATGTACAAAATTTGATTTGGCACCGTTGACATGCTATAGCGGACATGAGCAAACTACGGCCAGTTAGGTATTTCAATCAGCAAAGAATTTCAAAGAAGTCTTTGATCGCAATTAAATTCAGTTTTGGCATGAGGTTTATTGTTTTCCACTTTTGCTTTTGTAACACTGTAAATATTGTTCATGAAATATCACCAACGGGCGAGACTTTTGTTTGGCCTTATTTGAGTAATTTGGGCACTATACCCAAGTTTTGTACAATATTGTTTTACAAACCAAGTGTGAAACCCAAATGATACATGAGTTATCAGGTCCTAACTACTGGTATGTTGAAAATATTCTCAATAACAGAATTATTTTTAAGATATAAATATAATACTCACTTTCGTAAAACATCAATTTCATTTGTTAAGGCATGACTCTTTCCTTTCAAAGTTTTAGTAAAAATACATTTGATTGCAACCATATCTCCTGTCTTTTTATGTTCTCCAAGATATACTTTCGAAAATGCACCTCTGTAAATAGAAAAATAATGAAAGAGAAGTAGATACATAGCCATATACAGAATAGAATTAATATTCATCCCAAAAGTCCAAACCCATGACTTTACTAAAATTCTCTGTCTATTTCAGCATTTGGGTACAGTTGAGTCATAGACAGGGGTGACGCAAGCGCATCGAATATTCGGATACATTCAATAAAATTGGTTATATTCGATATATAGTAAATTCTGGATTTGAGTGAGAATTTAGAATATTTAGATACTTTCTGACAGAAAAAAAGAAAGAATGCTAATTAAAACAATGTTTATCTTGATTATTCTGCATAACTAAATTCATTTTAAACAAATTTACAACTGTTTTCAAGTTCTCTTGTGGAACAGACCCATTTCAGGATATATTGGATATTTCATCTTCCAAAATATCATTTTAGAACGTATTTGAAATACTATAGAAATCTTTTAAAAACAGATATAATCGATGCACTTACGTTCCTAACAAATTCTTGAACTCATATTTATTTCTTATATCTTCTTTACTTAGTGCAACTGTGGCACATTGTACATCACCAGATTTTTTAATTGAAGTCATTTTATCTTTTGAGCGATGTAGAATTCATGTGAATGAATTAAAACAATTTAAATATATACAATTATGACAATTCAAATCATTTGAGTCCTTGAAGCTTATTACCTATTGTTAACCTGCTAATTACTTATTTACAGAAGAAATAAAAATGAGAAGAATTAGGTAGTGTTTCATCTTTAAATATTATACCTGTATACTGTTATAACTAATCACAAATTAAATCCAACAATTCATGTGCTTCTTAGATCAGTAGGTTAAGTTATAGTCTACCATGTAAAACTTGAAAAACATTTCAATACTGCAATAAATTACTTCTTCACAAATATTGCTTACTACAGTACTATAAATGCCGAAATGATTGGCACGTAACGTTAACCAGGGAAATGAAAAAAAATTGAAAATGTTACTGTAGGTGTTATCTGCAATATTAGTCTATTTTTTCAAAAAATAATCAAGTCAGCACGTGGTACGGTAACTTCTAAAATTTCTTCAAATCGAAACTTGCATCCCTAGTTCAGTAGTTTCGACTGTCAGTACCACCAGACTACTGACCTACTGCAGAACTGTTTGTTTGTAGTGCAGTGTGCATTGTTTTTGTTCCAGTAGGCTATTTTGTTATTCCAGTTTGTGAATACCGGTAGGCATTGTGATGTTCTGGCAGATACAGATATTTTATTTCGTCGTGCATGAAACATTGTCAACAAATAGTAATAATAATAAACCGGTATTCTTTCTATTTGCTTGCTTTTACCTCTGACTACTGGATTACATAAATCTACAAGTTTTAGGATTCTCACTACTGCATTACAGACACAGTCAGTAGTACAGACCAAAGATACATAGCATTAGCCATTAGCAGACTGCAGCAGACATCTTTCTCGTTTTCGAACGCGCCGATCGTAGTTGCCAGAACTCAGATTCCAATTGACCGATGCGAGAGTCTACGAAAAAGGCATCGATGGAATAAATTGTGAATACTGTAATTGCTAAAAATTATAGTTCTCCCCCAAATATAAGTCTTACCAATAAGTTCGCCTCTAAAAAGAAAGACTAGTATAAGTGAACGAAACACGAAGTAAACACTGCTTATTTCCGTATAAACCGTCCCCCCACTGTAATTAAACAAAAAATTTACACAAAGACATATTTCGCCCCCAAAAATAAGTGTTTTACAATTACAATGAGTTTGAAAAAGATTGTACGGGGGAAATAGATTTATGCTCGTTTAAACCTGGCCCAATCGTCAATTTATACAAAAATTGCCGAAAAGACATATTTTGCCCCGTAGCGAAGCGGCCGACAGCGAACTATATTCAGTAAAAACCATGGATGAACAGTGTCATGTAATCGGAAATAATTTTGAGCGAGTATTTGGAACAGAAAATATTCCAGTGAAATACTTTCCACCACGTCGTTTAATGTAGTAGTGAAAAATACAAAATTTGCTGGCATGTTGCAACAATATCTCGATGCCTAATAAATGGGCCGTGACCATTATATCATATTTGTAAGACGCGGTATTTGCAAGCAACATCCGCAAAGATAAAACTTCTTCAAGAAAATCTTGGATTCATAAAATTCAGCGTCAGGAATAATTGCTCGCTTGGTTAAACCAACGGTTAAAACTTATTTCTTCAGTTTTACATTAAATACCCATTTTGAAGCATGAAGCCTTTCTATAATTCTGTTCTCCCCTTTTGACATTGTAACTGTAAAAATTGCCCATAAAATGTAACTTTTTACGTCACACTTACACGCTAGTGTAATTTTAAACAAAGGTTGCGATTGTTAGCGCTTTTCTAGTTTAGCAATTGTGTCTTGATCTGGCGACCCTGGGTCCGCTCGTTGTTTCCGAATGCGCTTTGCATTTGGCAGCGCTTTTCAGGTTCAGAATTTAGGTCAGAGTAGGGAGCTTGGAAATAGTTGCACTTTTGAGATTTTCTCGGAACCTAGAAGGTATGAGCAACATAACCAATGAATTTTTTAATACAAATGCTTCGCAATGAAGTATTCCTCTGAAATCAAACAAAATAGCGACCCCTCTAACTAGCATATTTAATCATGACGAAACAAATCATCGGATGATTCTGGCTGGAAACGATCAAGAGTTCTAATCGATATCAACAGAGTGGAAGTGATTTGTGCTTTCTACAAGTCAATCAATCAAGTTTATTTTTTTCCACCCAGTAAAAAATAAATAAATACCACAGGCACAAATTACAGGAAAATAATAAAGTACACAGTTTTACTGGGAAAGGAAAGTCGCGGGGAACCAATAATGGTTATCGAGCAGCGACACCCGAAGTACCACTGTTATTATTGGATGAACAATAAATAAGGTGAACACTAAACACAATAAATAAGATGAACACTAAAAACAAGTAGCCTACGTTAAGCATTTGTTTACAGGGAGGGGGGCATTTCTTTTTATAATTCGAATGTTAGAGGGCTGCTTTTCTAATTGCAGAATTTTTTATTATACAAGGGAAATTATTATTGAAGTTATTTGAGATTTGGGCAAAAATTATAGAGCAAGGACATAGCAGAAATACAATAATAATATGACTTGAATACGTAAGGAAATAAACCTAGTCTTTTTTCATCTATCTTACCAAATACAAGAGCTCATGTTCTATTGTGTTTTGCCTATCCTCGCTGTCAACCTCTTGCCGCCATAGTCGTGTATTCAACAATGAATGTTTGGCCCTGATTGAACGGTATACGTCGCAACCGTGGGTTTATTAAAGCGGCGGGACCAGTACGATGTATATTGATCAGCAGCACAAATGTGTGGTTTTCCAAAATAACATTCCACTTCTCCCACAGAAACTGATTTTCAAAGGCCGATAGAATTACTATATAGAATCTACAATTGTGGTTCCGGATTTATCCACATGACCCCTACGCTGTGTTGGGTGAACTGCCCTTGAAGGCCAGCTAATACGGCCGTCAAAAGTATAGAAAACGAAGAAGACCAAACCACGTCTTCTCATTAACTAGCTGAAAACGCTGCACCCGTCACACTTGTAGGAAGACGGTGGGCCGAAAATTCAAATCTAAATTTCATATTTTTATTGCTTTCTGGCTCGACGAACAAATAAACTGTAAAATATTTCTGACGAAAGGATCAGCGGAACGTTCTTCAACAATCAAAAATTACATGACACCCAAGAGGGCGACTGCTCAGCTTGTGGCTATGACCTGATCATTTAATGGCATATTACAGTTTTTGTTTTGTTTGCATACTGTTTCAAGAATATTGGCATTATCGATTACAGACCAGTGCACACGTGATGAGTGTTTTCAATCCAAGTCTGAAGGTACTGTATCTTAACCGAGACCACTTATCATTTTTGGGCAATGCCCAACCGAACTGTGTCAAAATATCAGCTTCTAGTTATCGAACTGGATAACAATCGAATCTCGCCAGTCCCCGCACTTAATGCTTCTGTAATTGGCAAATAAAAGATCAACACTCTCATCGAATTTTCATTCACGTATTTATCTTATTTTAAAGAGGTATGTCTAATCATTCCAATGGCTTGTGCAAGTGTCCTAGCAAAATACGATCATATGGAAATACTGTTGTTTAACATTAGGTATGAAAAAAGTAAATGATAAGAGAGTTTGCCTATGAAGAATAAAAATAATAAAAAAACAACAAACAGTCAGAATAAAAGAAAGATCGTCCGCCTTACTTATTAAGGATTCAAAGTTATAATCATATAGTATGAGCGGTAATTTTTCTAAAGAATACTCATAAATGGCAGAGAATGCAAAACAAACTTGATTCTGTCAGTATCATCGGTAAGCCATCAAGTAAAACTCGGAATTCACTTACGGTAGTTGTGAAAATTGTAGCATGGTTCCATCTCTGAATCAATGCTACAAGTACTAAAGAACATTGCTTGAAGCTAACATTCAAAATTCATGCTAAGTTAATTGCTTTCCAGATTTGTAAGGAATCTGAATTTTCCTGGCAAGTTGAAAAATATTTGAAACCAATTCCACACATTTTAGAATAATTGGGTATATAGGGACTTAATACAAAAGTAGCTGTAATTGTTTATTACTAAATACTACAGCCTTCTGTGCATTTTTTACACTTGATAAATGCATACCGTCGTGAATCCACTAGTAAAAACTGCCAATTGCACAGTTCTAGCATAAAACGACATCTAGTGCATATTAAGCGAACAAGAGCTCGCATATCAAAATGCTGAATGACTAGTATTACATTGCAAAACATATCTAAAAATTGCCTATAATATGAGGAAGCTATTTCCACAATGATTCCTTTGAGGACATAACACGACTAAAGATATTAATAATACTTGACGATACAATATTTAAAACATGCATTTGCTCATACTGTTACTGTTAACTTTCTAAAGCACTGACATCAGCTTTAGGTAGCTCATAACCCATGGAATATTTTTTACATATCATTTCACCATCATCTATTTTTGTATCGAGGGTGATTGAAAGAAAGCGTGGGTTATATTTCTCAGGCCGCAGCTGTATTTTTCCACTGATATCAGAATCTTGCTGTACAGCTACCTCGTTATCCAAGTATAATATGGATTGCTTCCAATGGGTTTCAGGTTTGAATGGTGAAGTTGACAAAATAACACTGTTCTTAGTGTGGTTGTTCGATTGCGAGTCTTTTTTATCGCCATTACAAGCTAGCTTATATGTTGAAACATCATGACCAGAAAACTTCACATCAAACCAGACAGAAAATCCCTGAAAATCATATTTGAATAATCATAGTTATAAATATCCTTTATCATGAACTGAATAATATGAAAATGTAACTGGTTAATATTGATTCTAGATCAGGGGATGGGTAATTACTTTTCTGAGTGGGCCAGTTGCAGATAATAGACTTGGCTACTGGGCCGGAGACTCAAAGCTCAGTATGAAAAACGTTTATTTCAACAGCTAGACTAACATTTATATAGCAATAAGTAGCACAGTGTAACAATTTGGGTCATTATGGCGTTATTTTAGTCAATATTTTCAACAGAAATTTATATCCATAAATGCTATAGTCATAATTTCAGCAGACACAAGTGGGTCGGATGAAACATTTCGGTGGGCTGGATCCGGCCCATGGGCCGTAATTTATCCACCCCTTTTCTGATCATTGATATATAGATTGCTGGGGAAATTTATTGCATCTTCATTCATGTTCCCTCAAATTTGCATTTCAAAGGTAAACGAGCTTGCAGGAATACAAGTTTTACATTATTTTGTGATTCGTGACTGATTTTATAATAATAAGAATGCAGAAGTTATCGAAAAATCTTGTTCATACCTGGCAAGTCGAAACGATACCAATGTGGCTGTTTTTCCAGAAATATACTGTAGCCCCATATCACAACTGACCACATAAATATTTTCATGACATAGTCTAATTCTTATACACTTCTCAACGTCATTTACCCTTATTCAGGAGCTTGGAGCTTGGGAAAGGCCACAACTGAGCACTGAAGTATGCATAGCTACACAATTAACATGTTATATATAAAAACCTGTAGATCGGCGATTCCAAAACATTTGAATGAAAACTTATATTGAACTAATGATAAATCATCTGTAGTCACAGTGTACAAGTCAAGTTTTGCAACAGTTTGCTCATGAGACAAAACGCTTTCTCCACCTATACATTTCACCATTACCTGAATTAGAAAAATCATTATAGCAGAAATAATGGTTCGCATTAACATCAAACCCAGTCTAAAGATATGAATATACAAATATTTCATATGAATAATTCATAATTTATTCAGAAATTTAGCATGAATCCTATTTCCGCAGCTAACGAAGCATTTCACAAACAATTCAGAATATTAATAATTGAAGTATTTGGTTGCAATAAGGTTCCATCATATATAATAATTCGCATTCTTAAAACATGGTATTTATTATTATTTTATATACACACATATAATACATGATGGTTAGTTAAATAGGTTTTTTCCTATATTTCAATAACATGAAATATATAGTTCCAATTAAATTCAAATATTCACAACTCAAATACAATACTAACATATCTCCTGAATGATATAATTTAAATTTTAACCCACAATCTCAGTGTTACTTCAATTGGGTTGGGGTGGCTGAGGGGTTAAGCATTAGACTTAACTGTGTTGGCATTGCAAATTACAAATCTCATGCCTCCCACCTCACCTGGGGTGTAATTAATTGGATAGGCAAGAACCGGTAAGATTCCCCCTCCAAATAAATAGTAGCGCTCCCCCATCGTTAGATATCAGGAGCTGCTCGTACAGGTCCAGGCAAGAGTAGTCATTGTATGAAACAAATTCATTAATTATTCCAGACCAGTAAGATCCATATTTTTTTCCAAGATTTCTTCCCCACAATCACCAAAAAAAGCAAAGTGATCCATAGGTATACCAATTTAAGATGCCATAAGGCTAGGTTATAGAATCTGAGATAGCCCATCACAAAAAGTATCTGGGAATCAAGTGATGATTGCAAAAAGATGTTACTTCTGAACTACTTGCATGCGTTCTTACCTCCTTTGCTAATGATTCTCTGGCAAATGGGATTAGACATGCCATGTCGACACCATAAACTTCATCCATATCATTCCAAAAATTAACTTTTTCCACCATCACCTCATCATCGCATACAGGTGCAACAAAGATAGTGGCATGATCTGGCAACATTAAACCTCCGGGCTTCAACCATTTATCTCTGGCCCATATGACGGATGACAACATTGATTCATAAAGCAAACAGTATCCCATCCATTCACTGACGATGATATCAACTTTTTCTGGCAAATTTACTTCTTCCATAACACCATGAATAACTTGGACACGGTCTTGCAATCCATTGTGCTCAACTACCTGTTTAAGGATAGGAATATTCTTTTATAACCCTGGGAAGAGGAAAGCTGATATGACGACCTAATGGCAAACCATAGCCTCTCGTTCGGTTACCAGTCCATTTCGGCTATGGGATTAGTTAGCCAGTTATTTGTTTTCAGATGCATGGGCTTGATTGTGGAGGAAGCCACAACCACCAACCGGTTATGTGAACCCCCCTTGTGAGTGAGCAGTGAGAAAACCAACAATCCTCTCGCGAACCCACGCAAGGCAAGTGTATTCCTAATACTTAGCACGATGCGCCACACCGCATACTAGCTGTTTTTATTGGAATAGTTTATTTTGAAATACGAAAGATGAGAAACCAAATTCATATACGAACATAATAGGCTACTAAATTTTGCTGTCATAGCTATAATGCAAGATGCACAAGTAAATCTTGCTGGAATTTATGGCCATTCGAATTATATCAAAATGCGACATTAAGATACCAGCATAGACAAAGATATTAACGATGATTTTTAGATGGTAGACCTAATAAATCTAAGAACAATATACCCCAGATTTAGCTGGTCTTACAGCTGAACAGCTCAAAGATATAAGCTATAGAATGTGTGATTGAAAAATCTGGTTGGAATTTATACTATATATATACGATATACTATTATAACACTAACATCAAACAACTGACTTTCAAATACTTACAGAATGAGTAAAAATAAGATTTGTAAATAATATGAATCAAAAAATGTTTAACATTTTCACACCTTTTCTGCCTGCTTGGCAATTTTGCTGGCTTCAACTGCATAAACTTTTGCTGCACCAACTTGAGCACAGAAACAACTTAGAATACCAGTGCCAGCACCAACATCTAGTACTACCTGAAAAATGAAATAGATAAAGTTATTTTATTATTACAAAAGGAATTCTATTTTCTCTAGAAATACAGAGAGTTTTTATGAACATGGTGTGAGCATAATAACGGTTCTACAAAATAGAAAACTTTATTGCCATACAAATGTCTCCTTTCACTGCTGAAAATCAGAATCGTTCCAACCAGGGGTTGGAGGTTTTTGTGCAAGGGAGGAGGAGAGAATCTATTTTGCATAGGGACGCATTAAGAAAAGCATTTAATTCACAACTTACATTGTTGAAAATCGCATTAATATTATTTCAATAATTCACATTTGAGATATTTTAAATACAACTGAAATTCAAAAATGAATCTAAATTTTGTATGTAGTGGTAAGAAATATCCTAATTTTCCCCAAAAGCAAAGGGCGCGAAAATTGCTCCGGGTCATAGTTTGCGCATCCCTGATTTAAACTTATAACCTAAAATGAATAAATGCCAATGCTGCAATCTTCCATGAGGCAGGTTAGTATAAATGTTCATACAAAGTTGGGTTGTGCATAAATAAATTTGATCCCGAAGTTCACATATGCAACTCGAGTGAATATAATGCAATGTCTGGCACTCAATATGGTTCTAGACAAAAAAGGCAAACTTAAAAACATTCACACATAGAAAAACTATCAAATAATGTGCCGGTCAAAAATTGAAATGGGTGAAACATATAACATGAAATGTAGTGCTGGGATCCCATTGTGCGTAAGAAGAGCACACATAAAACATCTCACATAAAAAACATGTACATGTCACATCATGTCCAAACACAATTAACTCTAGTGAAAATTTTGCTGCCGTTTCATTTTCAATACAAGATTGCAAATGAGGCCTCAAAGAAGTTTCTGCAACTTGTTGCTCTGCAGCGGCGTGTAGCCGATTTCTTTGCTTCGTTTTAATTAAAGCTAGTGATGAAAATGTTTTTTTCGCATAATGCAGTAACTGGTTGAAAATACACACAACAGTTTGATTGCTCGATTGCTTAGCAATGGGTATTTATTATCAAGAGATATCCAAAATTGTGACAGTGATTCTTTTTTAAGTCTGGACTGTAAAGTCAAATCACAATTTTAATCAAGCGTTTTCTTTTTTATCGGGTTCATCAAAGCCGGGGCCGAATAAGCTAAAAATGTGATTACTCTGCACCAAGATGACGCAAAAGACGTCGCAAGTTGTCACGAAAGACTTCGCAATACTGCTAGTGCAATATGACGGCAGAAGAGAAATTGCGTAATAAACCAACGCAACCTCGTCTTCGGTGAAGCGATTGAGTCGGCATAAAAACAACAAAAGAACGAGACTTCTCGCGAAATGGCGATTGGGAACCACTGTCATATACCATACTTCTGTACTTGAATTGGGAACTGACATGTCACAACAGTACCAGGTTGCAGCAACGTACAAAGACACAACATGCAAACTTCTGGATTTGTGCAATTTTTAAACTTGAACAATCAAAAAATTAGTCTCACACAGTTCAGTTGGGCAATGGCTAAATCATTAAATACCTGTAAATCCAACCCTTTCTGGTGATTTATATTTAATGGCATGGCAGAATCGTGTCACATGTCCTGACTGCCTGATGCAGTGCAGCAGTGATGTGTTACCGGTAAGCAGTAAATATTACAGAATTACCTTTCCACTTATTGCATCTCTACATGAAAATATTGCTTTTTTGTATGCATTAGTTCGTTCACCATCACCAAGCATTTCCTCGTGGACAGAAATATCGCAATACGATTCAAAATATGATTTTTCTTTCATAGAGTGAAGTCTTGGGCGTTTCGCTTTGTCAGCCATGTTATTAATCGATAATCGTCGAATCAAAGATTTAATAAGCATTACACATCACTGCAAAAACTGAAAAAAATAAGTGTAAGTTGGTGTTACTCGGATATCAAAGAAATACTACTTCTATCGAACACCATGAACTACAGACAATACAAACAAGAGCCTATGAAATTAGTATTACTTTAGATAAGATAATGCAGCACGCCAGACATCGCTGCAATCTCGCCAGCAAGTAGCTCACGCTGTGTTTAGCATTTGGCCTACTCCGGAGGTTCTCGACATTTTCACTTGGCGGTTCGCAACAACGGTAATTGATAATTGAATGAGCACTAGGCCTACTGTATTAATGTCGTATTCCTCGCAATAATACATCCGAGGATTTACCGCTACTTCGGTAAAAGGACTGATTTTTATTGATACGATTACCCACAATTGCCACAATATTAAATTAAAGTCGCGTAATAATTTTATGATACTGCGTTTGGTCAGTATATATTTACGGTTTGGTGCTCATTGTGCAGCAAATTGCAGGTTTATGATGTCACAATGAGTTCGGTAACAGTTGAGTAGGGATGGCCCCCGATTGTTGTTTGGATGGCCAGGTTGGCCACGTGTATGGTGGCCCATCGTTGTCACGCGTAAAATTGAAAATAAAAATAAAAAATAAAAAACCGAAAATAAAAAAATTGTTGTAAAAAAACATAAAAATAATTAAAAAAAAAAATAAAAAAATAAAATGAAAATTAAAAAAAAATAAATAAATAAAAACGAAAAAAAAAACAAAAAAATAAATTAAAAAAAAAAAAAATTAAAAAAAAAAAATTGAATAAAAAGAAAATAAAAAGGTTGACAACGATGGTCCGCCTCGTGGCCCATCGTTGTCACGCGTTTTTATTTTTAGAAAATTTGCTTCTGCTTGGGACCAACGTTGTCAGGCATAATCCTACGCGCACAAATGTGTTCCGCGGGTTTCAAACTCACTACTGATTTTCTTGAGCAATTTTCAATATGAAAATGTTCTATAAATTCTCCATGCTACAAGTTCAACAAGAACTAATATATTTATAATAATGATAAGAGAATATAGAATTGAATACGAAAATTCGGAAAATTTGTTTTTAACGTGTATAAGGTAATTTAATTGGCGAATGCTGCTTAACTACTCAGTTGTCTGGACACTCGCGATGCCGGTACCGTCTTACCAAATACCGGTAGTCGGTTATAGTCGCTTTGCGTCTGACCGTACCGGTAGCCATACAATCACTCATGAAAGAATGGGAGATACGGTTGTCTCGTAGAATATAGAATACTGAAACACTCTCTGCGCCTGCCCCATACCGTACAGCCGTAACGTACCGATCCAGACAAATGATAAATCGCCCGTGCTCAACCATTTATTTCAATCCATACCTCGATCCTAGTAGAATATAGTGAGTCGAGGTATGGATTGAAATAAATGGTTGAGCACGGGCGATTTATCATTTGTCTGGATCGGTACGTTACGGCTGTACGGTATGGGGCAGGCGCAGAGAGTGTTTCAGTAGACTACATTCTATCGAGACTATCCGTATCTCCCATTCTTTCACGAGTGATTGCATGGGTACCGGTACGGTCAGACGGTACCGTACCGGCATCGCACGAGTGTCTGAGCAGTTAAGCAGCATTTTCCAATTAAATATCTTCTACACGTAAAAACAAATTTTCGTATCCAATTCTATATTCTCGTATCATTATTATAAATATATTGCTTGTGGTTGAAGTTGTAGCATGGAGAATTTATAGAACATTTTCATGTTGAATTTATTGGATATTGCTCATGAAAATCAGTAGTGAGTTAGAAACCCAGGAAACACATTTGTGCGTGTAGGATTAAGCCTGACAACGTTGGTCCCAAGCAGCACCAAATTTTCCAAAAATAAAAACGCGTGACAACGATGGGCCACGAGGCGGACCATCGTTGTCAACCTTTTTATTTTCTTTTTATCCAATTTTTTTATTTTTTTTTTTTTTCAATTTTTTTTTTAATTTCAATTTTTTTTTTTATTTCTTTTTTTTCAATTATTTTCATGTTTTTTCATAACTATTTTTTTATTTTCGCTTTTTCATTTTATTTTTTCATTTTTTGTTAAATTTTACACGTGACAACGATGGGCCACCATACACGTGCAATAAAAAAACATGGTAGATTTAGCGTTTAAACAGCGGTAAATGTGACATGTTTTAAATCTTCAGGAACTACCTTGTTTCCCCGGAAATAAGATAAATATTTCAATTTTGTTCCAAAAAATAACACTAGGGCTTATGGACCTTTCCCCGAGCATCGACTTCCTTGTTTACTTCGTGACATTGGCCAATCAGCAAATTGCAAAAAGTGACGTAACAATGCTCCCTTTTCGCATCCGGTCAGAGTGAGACACTTTTCTCACTCAGACAGATTTTCAAGCGTGGTCGTAAACATTACCTCGTTTTCGCATTTTTGAACTCTATTCGTTAGTTTTCAGTTGTGTTTTGGAAACTTAAATGTAAATCAGATAATTAAATGGTCACCCTGTCTTCCTAGGAGTTTTATTTTAATTGCAGTAATAAAAATCAGTGTAGAAATAGCTGTGATAGACTAGGCTAAAATTCTTTATCGGTAATTTTAAAAAACAGATTGTTGTATGCGATGAATCATAATGATGGTTTGAAACACATATCCCATTTCACAGGCGCCAACTCGCAAAAGCACTCTTAACATAGCCCCGAAAATTTTGCATTGGTTAAGTCAGCGATTCCCAAACTCTCCGCCCAACACTAGTGTTCCGCGAGCGTCTTCCGAGTGTTCCGTGGAGAAGAAATCAAAAATATCGCCATTGCGATCTAGAAATCGTGTAGTTGTCGCCAAACTGACCGTTCAATATCGCGTTATCGTCGGCCTAAAGCAGACTAACTGAGGTAGAGTAGTGGCATTTTCGTGACCGTCGTCGTAGCTTTTTGACTGTTAAGTTTACATAGACTTACCATACGTCCCGCCGTTTTAGGCGGGACAGTCCCACTTTTTAACGTTTTGTCCGGGCGTCCCGACCGGTCAGCCAAAAGTCCCGCTTTGGCGTTCACCCAGTCAGCATGATACATGAACATCACCAATTAGCATGTTCTCGATACTGTTGTTGCCGTGTGGTGTACCGGTGGTAGCATACTTACTGAAGGTGGATGCGTGGTTTTGTTTGTTTCGTTGTTTTCCGCTAACATTATTAGCGGTTAATTGCTACAATAGTTACGTGTAAGCCCCATACGTCAAAAGAGCGCTTAACGTAAAGTCCTTTCTATTTATTGAATTGAAACCGATTTTTAGACAGACACCACATGCACTCTCGATGACAATATAGTTACTGAAGACAGCCGGGATGGTTTTAAATGTGTGCCTAATGTAAAATCGGTAAATTTAAAGTTGAAAAAAAAAACACATCTATGGCCTTTGGAGGCGTCCCGCTTTGAGGTCACAAAAAATATGGTAACCCCAAGTTTACAGCAATCATTTTGGTTTTGTTATAAGCAAACAAGTAGGTCTAAAGAAAAAAGGCAAAAGGCCAACTCTTCTTCCTCCGTCGCTGCCTGGTTTTACTATGAAATGCTGAAAAATTACTCATGTTCGCTAAATTCAATTCAGCAGATAAATAAACTGCAGCTCGCGAAATTGCAGCAAGTAGGCTACTTTTATATTTCCCTAGAGGTAACATTGGAGGCAAACACTACGTAATGAAAAGTAAACGACATAGACAGGTAAAAAATTGTGAATTGGTGAATTTATTGATTCATATACACAGCTCTTAAATTAGGAAACAATAAAACATTTATAATAAATGCAATATGTAAAATATTCAATCATATTTCAGGTATGTTTAACCGTAGTAGTATATATTTACGGTTTAACACAATTCTGTTAGTTTTCGCGGCGCATTTGGCAACTCGTCACGGCGAACCCATTGGGAACCGCTACATTACACCGTTTTTCTTTATCAATTTTAGCTTTCCATTTTTTGGTGTTCCGTGAGGCGAGATAAAAAGTCTAAGTGTTCCGTGGCCGAAAAAGTTTGGGAAACGCTGGGTTAAGTATAGGAAGAGTTTTTCGGGGGTCAAAGGTCCATTTTCGGGTGATATCTTATATTTTTATTTATCAAAAACGAAATTAAAAGGTAGAGAATTACGAGATTTTCAAATATACAAACTATGAAAACCGATATCCATTTACTTACAAATAACACGTTCTTAGTCAAAACAATTTTAAAATATAGATTATCAATCATTTAAAACGTGTAGGAGCAATGACATTAAACAGACTAGGTCTTATTTTAAGCGGAGGGCTTATATTAAAATCATTTTTAAAAATTAGGCTAGGTCCTATTTTCAGGAAAGGTCTTATTTTCGGGGAAACACGGTATATAAAATGGGTGCCGAAAGCGCAAAACACTTCGCCATATTTTTTCAAATTTTAGTGTTTGAATATTCTCTGACACAATTTTATGTGGCGACTTTATCTTAGCTATCTTGGTATCCCAGGCTAAAAGATTCTCTTACTCAAAGTTGTATCAACTATCCGATTCAATAGTACTGGATTCAACGATACCTCACAAATATGTTTACGGTTCATTGAAAAAAAAAAAAACAGGCCCGACTCAATTAGTTTTATCATCGAGAACTGCAGTCACTCTACCTTGTTCGTTTGCTTTCGGACGAAAAAGGTAAGGCTTTTTTCGAAAAAACATCCGCTCATATAAAAGATTCGCCGAAAAGACAAACGCCATATCATTGATGCTTTTCAGTTGTTGGGTTACTATGGATACAAATGGTACGAAACGTTCAGTTGAGTCTCGCTTCCGATCAAAGAAAAATGTCAAAATTACTGTCGTGGTGAAGGATAAACAATGTTCAATCTATACAAAAAGGATGTACAGTATGATTCCACCTTGTTCGCCGAGATACAAAACAGAACAAACAAAAACTATACAGCACGCAACAAAGTCTTTCAAGTGGGAACAAAATACTTCAAATTGGGATAGTATCTTCCGTATGCTGCATGGCACGTCAAAATTAGCCACAATAGAAGAAACGGGTGAACTTTACAATGAAGAACCTAATACAGACTCTGGCATTTACTATCGGCAATGTACAAAATCGAACGTTTTCACATCGCGCTCCGGCAAAGAAATCTCAAGAGAAAAATTGTTCAGTATTCCTGAAGAACAAGAATCTCCTAGTTTATGCGAAGTTATGTCACCAACGTTCAAGTCGAAATTTGTATTTCCCCCGACTATGGTTTATTGTCGATAATCTTGTGTGGAATTCCTGTACATAAATAATTTTTATAATTCGTCACTTTTTGCCTCATATTTTTATTATTTCTCATTTTATGCAATATATTTTTTATGAATAATATTGTCGATATTATTACTTCGGGGGGAATTATTAGAAGGCCGTTATGACATTGAATTGTCTTGACAACTTAGGCACCTTTCAGTTTCAGAAAAGTAGTGTTAGGGAGGCTCAAACCATTGGCTCGATTAGAGTTGGATTATAGTCATTTCATTAATCAAAGACCCAAAGTAACTCGAACAATCGAAAAAGAATGACCCCGAAATAGAGAGACCTCGTCAACAACTAACCTAGGGCGACTTAACTCAGTGATATACTAGACTTCAATTCGGAGGACCCTTGAGTGACTCGTCTTGACGCAGAGATTAGAGATTTCTATCCAACACTGATGAAAAACAATGATTATTTCTGCGTTATATGACGCTGTTTAATATATTTGGCGTATACACATACATATATATATATATATATATATAAGTGGAAACCCAATACGAAAACACAAAGTTCGAAGCGTCTGAAATTCTAAGTTTATATGCGAGTTTGAGAATGATAAAACTTTGCGTTAATTGAAGTCATTCAGAATTTCGAAGCCTTATCCCATATTGTCAGTATGCACGACTTCAATATTCGATCCATTTGTGACAGGGTGACATTTCAGCTAATATTTGTGACAGCACTTGACACGTCTTATTTTCTATCGAAAAATAGTCATGTGAAATGAGAAGGGTGGACATAAGTTATCTTAGTTCGAAGTTGTTACACCATGCTGGGCTCTTATTTCGCATAGGATATGGTCGAAATCGTATCCCTTGCTTCCGACCAAGTATTTACGTAAGTTAATTGAAAGAAATGTTTATAGTAAGCAAATGCAATTGAATGCATATACGTCCGCTCCTTTAACGTTTTCCAAAAACTTTTGTTTTGGGATGTTTCTCGTTTATTTTGAAAATAGTGGAACTATTTAACATGACGCATGTACAACGATTTTGTGTTAACGCAGTCGATCGTGTTCGTAGATGCGGCATACATAATACAACATAAAAATGTGAAAATAAAAATATTGTCTGTCGTCTTTGGTCAAATTATTTATATATATTTCAGAAAATAGACAGTTTGACAATTTTACAATAAGTTTTCTATATCATGAGTAACTAACATCATTAGTCTTGATTAGTGATATCAATTTGACGTCGATGTGTTTTACCATTTTATGACGACCAACTAACTACATGAGATATCTTTTATTATAAATTAGTGGAATCCGTGTTACATAATTAATGATGCTCGGGTGGCCATAACTTCACGTGTACTTCAAATCAAATGTGAACTAACAGAATACTAGCATTCGAATCACAATGTTAAATCAGAATCTAAATAACCAGTTGAAAGGGACTATCCGCAAATTTATATATATATGTGGAATTAGATTAAACTAGACATATGACTTACTTATCTTAACTATGACTCTTTGGCTCGAAACTTGGAAGCGGATATGCTGTAGGCCAGTAGCAGTACCGGATTTCAAAAAACACTTGAATTTGGAGGGTTCATCCTGTTTGTCATTCGATCCCGATCTTTTGTTCTTTCGAAAGGGGGCGTACCCCAGATTCCAATCCGATCTTTCATTTAAACTCTTACATTTTTGTGAATATGTCTGAATAGAGTATTTTTAAGGATGTTCCACGTCAACATTACCGTTAGATTGTGAGAACATAGGGTAGCCAAAGTCGGACATGACATACAATCCTTTCGCTTTTAATTTTGCTTAGCTGAAAATGAAATGTCAAAAATACCGCCACGCTGTACGTGGTTATACATTTTATGTCGGATCTAACATGATCAAGTTTAGCATTTTAAGCGCATATTTTCATCATTATTAAAAATTAGTGGAATTCGTGTTACATAATGAATGTTGCACGGGTAGCTATAACTTCACGAGTACTTCAAATCAAACGTGAACTAACAGAATACTAGCATTCGAATCACAATGTTAAACCAGAATCTAAATACCCAGTTGAAAGGGATTATCCACATTCACAATGAAATGTCCAAAAAAAACCGCCGCGGTGTACGTGGTTATACATTTTATGTCAGATCTAACATGATCAAGTTTAACATTTTAAGCGCATATTTTCATCATTATTAAAAATTAGTGGAATTCGTGTGGAATAAATTCAATGTTGAATTCTACTACCAATATCCTCCGAGGCTGAAAAGTGAGTGTATGGATGAGCGGAAATACGAAAGTTTTTGCTGAGAATACGTGATGCGATGCATCGCATAAACCAGTGATTTCGCTATTTTGTTGTTTTTCCGTCGGTGCAGCCGTTCCACCCAAACCAAATAGGCTGCATTGCTTTGTTAAGCGATTTCTCATCCGCCGTTATTTTGCGTGTTTGATACCTGCGGAGATAAACCATTGTTAACGTTTTTGTAAAAATATGATTTCATGCATTTCACTGCTGTGTAATTTTGAAGTAAGTGCTATGCATCCAAGATGAATCTTAATTTATCACATCATGAATTCTGTAACATTCCGTATATTTGTTCGCTTGCAACACATATTTTAATGGCTTAACTTCTATAAATTTGAATTAATGAATCAAGCAAGACATCTGTGACCGCTTATATCATTTTTTAAATTATAATAAGGAAAGACTTTGGAGCGCTTCTTTTATCATTTGTAAACATTTATTAAATTATAGTAAATTGCATTTAATTTTACAACCACCGGTTGGTGAATGTATTTTTAGATACAGGAAGGTTTTGAGTCAAATTTCGCGATTTGGTAATTATCAACTATCATACAGCTGTTCTTCTTACTGTGTGATGTTACAAGTTACAGTCTGGGTTTTAATGAATCAATTTAAATCAATGTCTAACGTTATGTGAGGAGCTACTATTATTTGGAAAGACCGGAATCTTTCCGGTTTAGCATGGTCAAGCAAATTTGTCACATCTTGGGTGAGGTGGGCAAGTGTGATTTCAATACGAGATGTGTATTCTTGCGATACCAACACAATTAAGTCTAATGCTTCAACCGCAATGCCAGGGATGGCGAACCGTTTTAATGAGTGGATAAAAAATGATATATTCATCACGGAAAAAAGAACTGTTGGTCATAAACTTTCAATCAAATTTGTGCATGAATGAGAAACCTACTGTTACGTTTTTTCTGCGAGTCATATAACTTTGGTTGCAGTGTGTAGTTTTGATCTTTACACATGCAACACTTATATCAGGACTGAGGCGATTGCCGGCACTCTTTTTTACAAAATTTATTCGGGAATACACTGATTCGTTTGCATATAAATGATCGAAAACCTTCATAACGCTATAATTTTTTTCAATCTGGTGAATTGTATTTTTCCATCCCATCACAGGATAAGGGATAAGTTGCAAGAAATGGATGTACTATAATGCATACTATAGTTCACATATGTTCGATATATATGCCGCGTGTTCGATTTTTTCGTAATGAACAAGTTTACGATAAAAAATCCAAAAATTGCAAAAAAAATCATTCTTAGATTGTTCGTTTTCATCGTCGTTCCGAAAAATAAAGGCCTTATTAGGCTAAAAAATTCGATTGTATTTAATTTTTAATCTTGTAAACGAAATTTATTTGCGACAAGAATTATTAAGTCGATTAGAAATATATATAAATAAATGTTAGTTTGAAAGAAATTTAAAACGGAAAATTCGTTAGCAAGCCTTTTTATTTGTAAACGACAAAAAATTAATAACTTTTCAATTTGAAACACGCTGTCAGTCAGGTGGAAGTGGAGAAGGTAAAATAAATTTCATTGATGACGTCGCAGTGTTATATAAAAGGCCCCTACAATACCAATAGCCACACTGCTGCCGGCCCCACAGAATACTTTTGTGCAGCGGTGATTATTGGATAGCCGACTTTGTTTTGTGTCAATCGATTCTTTTTAAGACTTTTTATTACTCGCGAAGTAGACTTTCTAGCATCTAAGCACATTTATTTACTTTGGTGATCCAAATCGGTAACTGATAATATATATTAGGTAATATATAACTTAGCAGCAATTGCACTGCATAGAACAAATACATTGTGACTAGTATCCAATAAGCCATTCGACGTTCTGCGTTACACCGTTATTTCTACCGATTACAAAATTAAATTCAATTGATGAAAATGAGAGCTTTGTGGTGGGAAGGAACCACAAAAACCCTTTCATACATTAAGGACGCAGTTGAGCCTAGTGTGGTCGAAGCAGATGATGTAAAGTTAAAGATTGCGTTTTCAGGTGCGATAAGTGATGCTGTTGTATCACTTCGCATTTTCTACGATGTATCGACGTATTGTTTATTATAATTGCAGGTGTTTGTGGATCTGACTTCCATTTTATGTCCGGGGAAATGGGAAAGTTTGCACCGAAGAGTGATGGAGTTATATTAGGTCATGAATACTCTGGAACTGTAGTTGATATTGGTTCTGCTGTACAGGATCTGAAGGTATCATTAGTATTAATAATTTACTCTGATAAAATATGGGGACTTCTATGCGTAACGTCGCTGGAAGATCTAAAACCGCCAAAGTCTAGTTTGGTTACTCTGCATGTGAAAGTAAGTTTTTATCATTATTTTTTATTATTTTTTAGTTCAAAATTAAATCTTCTGCAGGTCGGGGATACAGTTGCAGTAAATCCCAATAATTTTTTCAAAACTGTTCTTGGTGTAAAGAAAATAAACCCAACTTTTGTGAAAACAACATTAATATTGGAGTGAAAAAGAATGGAGGTTGGGCGGAGTACTGTGTTGTGCCTGTCAAATTGGTAAGCGTTCGTTTAAATAATTTCAAAATTATTGTCATTGGCGATATTTTCAGGCAAGTTTTATCATTGGTACCTTGTATATCGATGCCAAAATTTCCACTAATGACTTTTCATGCTCGCAATTCCTTGGAAGTTTTATCACGTCATTATCATTTTGCGTCATGTGAATTTGCTAATTTTTATGTTTAAAACTATTAAAAACGAAATTCGTTCAAGGTTTTCTATCTGCAATTCATAGTGTTATGTTGGTTTCGAATTAACAACTTGCAGGTGCATAAGTTACCAGAAGGTGTGTCTCTTGAAGGTGGTGCACTGGCTGAACCTTATTCTTGTGTATTGAGAGGCTGGAACTTGATGCATCAAAAACCGATAAAAACAGCCAAAGTATTAATTCAGGGTGCTGGAATAATTGGATCCATGTTTGCCTGTTTGTTTCATGTTAATGGGTACAAAGATGTAACAATTTGCGAACCACATGAAGTACGTCGGAATATTTGTTCTGGTAAGGTGGTAGGCAATTTTTAAACTTTTAAATCAATGTTTATAATGTTGTATAAGGTTTATATGACTTGTAACAGGGTTGAGGCTGGGATATGAAATTACACACCCGGATGAATTAGACAAGATGATGTCAAGTAAAGACGAAGACACACACGGTTTCGATGTAATCTTCGATTGCACAGGAAATTGCAGAGCTGTTCAGAAAGTAAACTTTTGAAATTTATTTTGGTTTATTTACGTTTCCCATATTTGGATGTAGGAACTATTCGAGACAAGCTTTTTATAATATTTATATGTTTATATTTAAAGACAATCAATCTGGCACGTCGAGGCGCTTTCATCTCGATGTTTGGCTGTTGTCCAGCAAAAGAAAAGATCGAAATTGAACCGTTTCAAATATATTGGAAAGAGTTGAAAATTGCTGGTTCATTCATCAATCCGTTTTGCTTTGAAGAAGCAGTTGCTTTTCTGAAAGATTTGAAGGAGTACAAACTGTTGGATTTGCAAAAATTTGGCGTCAAAACTTTCGATCTGTCTGAATACAAGGCAGCGTTTACTACACTGAAAAGTGGAGAGGTGTCAAAAGTAATTTTCAGATTATGATTCACTCATAATACATAAAATTGAAAGTAAAAGTATATTGATATAGGTAGTCAGAGTGTGATTGATATAGGTAAGCTGAGTTGTATTATTACGACAACTTCAGGTAAATACAGAGGCGCCTTTAATATATAATTGGCATGGAGTCTTGGTTATTATTTTCATTACAACAGCCTCAGACTTAGTCAGAATAAATAACCATGGGACAAATTTGGTATAATGAAATAAAACACAATATTTTTCAAAAATATTAGTACAGATATGATACGCGACGACAGGTGGACAAAGTCTGTGTTGTACCGGCCAATAGGAAAACTGTGTTGTTTGTAAAAAATAATCTAAATTTGGGTTTACTATCACGCTGTGCCAATCAATTGTCTTATCATTAGCTGTCTGCTCAAGCTTTATACTCTTATATGTGATTAACACTCACAAATGCTTGTGCCTTTCAATTTATTAAAAAATTCACATTTTAAACATTGCTTTCGCTGCATCTCCACGTTTGAGAGATGCGAAGGCAGCTTCGAAATCGGATAGTTCAAAAATTTTGACTCCTATTTTATTCAGATCGAGTAGATTTTTTTCGTTGAGGATTTTCAGCATTCCAACAGCTTCTTCAAAACAAAATGGGTTGATAAAGGAACCAGATATTTTCAATTCTTTCCAGTAAATTTGAAATGGTTCAATTTCAATCTTTTCTCCCGCGGGACAACATCCGAACATTGAAATGAAAGCCCCACGGCGTGCCAAACTGATGGTCTGAACGAAAATTTTTTTTGAAATGTTAGAATATTTACAGAGGATTTTAAAGATGGTAAAACTAATTCTGTTGCAACCTAAATCAAGTTTCGAATACAATAATTTCAATTCATCAACAAGTGCACTTCCGAATTATCGAAAGTGTATTTTGTCTTTCCTTTTTATATGAATATGAGCAATATCAATGTGAACAAAGAGAAATTTAACGACGTACCTTTTGCACAGCTTTGCAATTACCAGTACAGTCAAAAATAACGTCAAAACCATGGGTATCCGCATCTTTGCCAGCCATAAGCAGATCTAACTCTTGTGAGTGTATAACGTCATATCCAAATCCAAGACCTACAGTTTGGGTAAAGAAATAGCATATTAATAAAATAAACCCGTATATATCAATACTTAAAATAAAGGTGAGTAAACAAGCATAACCTGAACAAGTATTCCTACGTCCTTCATGTGGTTCACATATTGTTACATTGTTATATCCTTTAACATGAAACAAACACGCAAACATAGACCCAATTATTCCGGCTCCTTGAATCAATACTTTTGCGGTTTTCATGGGAAGTTGGTCCATTAATTTCCAGCCTCGTAATACGCAAGAATAAGGTTCGGCCAGAGCTCCACCATCTAATGATACGGTTTCTGGTAACTTGTAAACCTGTAGTATGGTATAAAGGGAATAGTTATCGCGAAGATATGTATACCGAAGAAATAACAAGTTACAGCAGTGAGTAAAAGCTGAGATAATATATTATAATACAGAATTTTCATAAAGTCCCTATACAATTTCAATTTTGTTATGAAGTCAGTTCTCAATATATCTCAACCAGGTTTGTTTTGTTTTATTCAGTAATTGTTCAAGTATTTTTACTTCATTTAATGCATCTGTAAGAGCCAAAACAATATATTGTATTGATAAATTTCCTTTGCAATTTTTTTTCAAGTCTTTTTTCAAGTATATATGGACACCCTATATATTTATCCATGTGGAGAGGGAATTCGATACTTTTTTAAACTTGGTTGCTTGGAAATAGATGACCATTAACATAAAAATATGCAAGAATCCCATAGTAGAAATTATGTAAGATTTGCAAACCTATGTCGGATAATCGAGATTCGGTAACAACTGTGGTCATAGCACCATAATTATGCTAACGATCGAGCAGATTTTGTGTACTTGCATTTTCGTTTTATGATTGCTGTTGACATTATTTAATTTTGAATAGAAATTTACTAACCAGTTTATTAGGCACAACACAAAATTCTGCCCATCCTCCGTTTTGTTTTACGCCAACTGTGACATTTCTTTCACAAAACTGTGGCTTTTTCTCTTCGTGCCACACACAGTTTTCACAGCAAAAATTTGGATCGACCGAAACTTCATCTCCAACCTGTAAATTTTCGAAAAGAACATATATATATTTTATATATTTTTTAACATATATATATATTATATGAGAATCCAAAATTGAATACCTTTATATATATATTACCATATACCGAAATTCCAGAATATTGTAATTTTATTGCATATGAGAATAGAAAATTTGGGAATTCCGATTTAAGTGCTATAAAGTATAAAAGTCAAGTTACTTAATATTATATCGAGAGTTATGTATCAACACTGTAAAATCAGTTTGTTCAAAACGTAGATATGCAAAGCAAATAACTTTGAAACGTTATTTAATCATTAATATACTAAAAGATTAGGGGTATTAGATGTAAACTGAAAGTTTTGGAAATTGCATATATACAAAGCAATAAATGAAAAACTCATTTCAACCTTTATGTTTTCTACTCCTGTTCCAACTTCGACTACAGTTCCTGAGAATTCATGACCCAGAACAACTCCGTCAGGTTTAGTAGAAAACTTTCCCATTTCTCCACCCATGAAATGAAAATCAGAACCGCACACACCTGAAGAAGAACGATATACATTACCTTTACCAGAAAATCAGAGGGTAAGTCTTCTTACGACTCTTTGGCTGGCATGATAATTTATATTAAAATGTCAGCATTCTGAAAATTTCGCATCAAAAAATTGTTGTGGCCTTTCGATTCGATTTTGGATTGATATTAATTGATTGACCTAACAAACCCATTTTGAATATATATAATTTTACAACGGGATGCCATATAAAATAAATTATTGAGTATTGATTACAAGTCTTGAGAGGACTTTAATTCAGACTTGAGGATCGAGCGAGGTTCTAATAAATACCGCGGTGCGGAGTAATTGAATATTCAACGAGAAATTTTGTAGAATTAGGACCGTATTTGAAGCGCCTATTGATATTTCCGTCCAGTATTCAAACAGTATGAAATAGTATGCATTGGTATTTATTAGACAAAAATATTATATATATATATATATGTTTAAGAAAAGTTGTATTTCTTCGAAGATTGAATGCTGAGAACGTTATCATATCTATCTATCTGAAATCTATAAATTTCTGAAAATGTTTACCTGAGAAAGCAACCTTTACTTTGACTTCATCTGGTTTGGTGACAGTTGGCTCTACGGCATCTTCCACAAAAGAAAGTTTTTTGTCATTTGCTTCCCACCAAAGGGCTCTCATTGTTTAGCATAAGAGGAAACTTCGAAAAATACTCTGAAAAATATTCAATTTCAAATTTGCAACATTACTGTTATTACAACAATAACAGAAAAAGGAAATGCCGCAGATGTATCGCTGTCAAGACTAAATAAACTGTTGACAAAATATGGATTCCTACCTAAAGTGAAATTTAGCTAAATAACAGTAGCTCTCAGCTGCAAGTATACAATAAAAATAAACAGTCCCACAAGCAATGCAGATACGACATGGTCGTATTTACTGTTATAGTACTAAACCAACCCGTCGTGCCCTAAATTATTTCTTAAATGTTATATCTTGTTTGCAGCACAACAGCCGAATAACATTTTCGTTCTGCAATAGATAAACTTCCCTCCACAAAAGTTAAACATTTACCAAAATGGTTCGACGACGGCATTATTGCAAATCAAACAATGGTACTTCATATCGACATGCAAAACAAACATACTCAACCTATCCGCTTTGAACAAGCTGTTGCTTACTATCTTTTATCGGCGTGTCTCTCTCCTTGATAATTGATAAATATCGGAAATTGCGACCTAAAAAAACTCTTAAGTACATATGTCTGCGTTCTGATTGTGTTGGAGTTGTTTGCATAAGAACCTTTCAACATGATACGAAAAAACTTTTTGGTCGTTTTAACTTCACGATAACGAGCTTTGCGGAAACCTACCTTTTTGTAATAATATTTTACGCGGATTTATCAGAGAGCATTCGAATAAACAGCACGACCCTTTATTACTATTTACTGTAATAATCTATTTAGTCCCAATACTATTTAAATGTAATTACCGAAATATCTACAGTCTCTACTCCTTCAGAGGTGAATAAACACACAATATGCGTGTTGCTTATGTACATATATTGCAAAGTTGCACAATCAATTTGGATCATTCAAAGTAGCAGATAATGTAAATTCTCATAACCCTTAATACAATCAAATACGAATTATTATATGTAGCCTACTTCAGAAGCAATAACAAAGTCAAGCAAACTCTTGTACGCGGAAACACACAATTAATCTTGTCGCATGGCATCAAACGCTTGTATGAAAAAGACATTCCTTGGGACTCGTGTAGGCTATATAGGACATGGATTGGGTTATAGCCTTGCTTTGCGCAAATAACTTGCTTTTTTGGACTAAGTGGGTAAAGATATTAAAATGTACAATAACCATCACTATGTACTCGCTATTGCGCCATTTGAATCCTAGTATTTCTCGCCATCAATTTTGATAATATCAATTATTACTGGGTAATGAGATAAGAAAATGTTGACCGAGTCACTGATGAGTGGTGCTTCAGTTTATCCGCAATTTATCGATAGAAGGCGATTGTGCATTAAACAAACTGCAATTGCTTTGTTATAAGTTTCTTTATTTGGATTAATTTGAAAATCGATTAGGTAAAAATAAAATGGATTTACTTCGCCGTGTAGTATATTCAGTAAAACTGAGATTAAACAGTACCTCCACGTAACCTAATCTCCTAATATATTCTCTTCTACTGCACAATACCAAAAGTTTTGTTTCATTAAATCTTGTATTCAAAGACCTATTTCATTTATTGACAACATTAGTTTGAAATATTATATTTATATTTGATATTCTAACGCAGAAAACTTGTATTGGTGCGAAAGTCTGTAAGAGTGTCAGGAGAACTAAAATCAGTTACCGTTTCAAAATTTATAGCTAGTGGCATAGCTGACGCCATCTGAGGTAAATTAGAGAGATATGGAAATTACATATAATAAATCGGAAATTGCATAAAATAAACAGAAAAGTCGAACAGTAAACAACACAGCACATTTCTACAATTTCTTTTTGTGAATCAATACTCCACAAAGTCCGATAATTGCGATGGAAAAAACTAATTCCAAAGCAAACAGAGAATATAAAGCTGCTTCCGTGTCCGCTTTTGTCATCTGGTTTCCCAGAAATTCGATCGTATCTTCTTCTGGAGGTTCGGTAACAACTATTTCTCTGTCCAAGCAATGATCTTGGTTTTCTCCCAGGCAAGCAGCGTATCTAAATTTAATTTAAGATTGTTCAGGAATTTTAGAATAGATTTAGGAGCTAAGTATGATGCAGCTCTTAAGTCAATATGTAGGCTTGTTTATGAAAATTCTCGGAAATAGGAATACACTATATATAACATTATTTCGACAATAGCTTGTTACAGGTTATGGCAAAACGTAGTGAATTCTTCATTTGATAAACTTTGGTAGTTTAATTATTCGAACACACCATAATTAGTTTATTTTCATCTTTCGTTAAAGTTCCCACAAAACGAAGTAGTAGTGAAGATATATAAATATAAAGATTTTACCTCATGACATGGGCAATATAATTTTGTTCGTGAACTCCGTGAAACAGATGGGCCATAGGACCTGTTGCAAATATACCAACGTCTTCACCTCCGTGAGATTCACTACCCAGAGGTACAGCAGTTTGTTGTTCGTAGTATATGTTCTCTAAAATTTAATTCGAACTAATTTAGAATTTCAAAATTAATGTGTACCAGAAAAGTTGGGAAATATCCAAGGATATGCTCAAAAACTAAGCGGCATGTTGTGACGTGGCTATACTTAAGAAAAATAGATGGTCACAAGTTTTTGTGCGGCGATATATTTCCCACACATACAAATACTAATGAGCAATAATTCAATACCAAATACAAAAACAAACAATGAAATTTACTAGAAAATGAAATCAATAACCTTTTGTTGAAAAACTATCGACCAAAAGGGATTTTTAGGTGACCCAGCTTTGGGTAGCAATCCATTAAGTTGGGAAACACTGATCTACTGCACAATCAAAACAACATAATTTAGCTTCGTTCTTACCCGTCAGCTCAACTGTCACGTTTTCACGAACGATGTCGTTATAATCAACAGTTGTGCTTCCCTGATACCCCGGTCCGTTTCCGTATGAAAGAGCAGTATATTGTTTCAAATCTAATGCTACATCTGGCTCCTCGTTTGAAGGTGCAAGACCTATAAATACAATTATTCAATTCTCCCAATGCACTGTAATAAAGTACAGATATCAGAGATAAAAGGCATCATTGACGCCTTGAGAACTATAGAAAGTCTTATTCCTATGGAGCAGATGTCAGCAGATAGCGCTGCCACGATACCTGGAGCAATTCAAGACAATACCGTTACCAAGTTCAGCCAATGATATATTACGATATGTGAGAATGTACTATTATACGGACCGGAATTATTTATTACACCCCGGATGAGATGGGCGATGAAACCCGAAATGTATAATCTGTAATTCAAACACAGTTAAGTCCAACGATTTACCCACCACCTTGACGCCGCTAAAATATTCGGTTCCAATATAGTCGTAACCAAGTGGCCTGCGTATGTTTAAGCCGCTCTCAAAGACAATATAGTCAATGAAGACAGCCGGGATGGTTTTAAATGTAGGCCTCTTATGTAAAATCGGTAAATTTAAAGTTGATAAAATCCCAGATATGGTTTTGGAAGGCGTCCCGCTTTAAGGTCACAAAAATATGGTAACCCAATATATATATATATATTGATAGTTTGATACAATATTGTGGTAAAACGTTTATTCACCTGTAATTGGATTTCCACGAACAGAATATTCTCCCATGTTGAAAGTATGACTATGATCTGCAGTGACAACAGAGAGTGTGTCTTCTACTGATGTCATAGACAAGCCAACTTCAATGGCATCATCAAACGCAACGACATCTCGCAGGGATCTTTAATAGGAAATATATACTCAATTTTATGACAATTTGCGTTAAATTTCTTGGAACTTCAAACGTCTGGTAAAGCTCTTTCATACTAAAGAAGATGGGAATTGTAATTGTCGACAGTAATTTTCTGACATTCATGCTTGCTGTATTTTTGCGTGTACGTTAAAATGCCTATTCGCACTTACAAGTGTTTGTGTATTTCGGTTAAAATTTCAATCAGCTGTCCATTTTTTAAAACTTACAAATATACTCCTAATAACAAATATATTCCCAACATCAAAAAGCAATCGGACTATTCCTGCTGTCGATAAAATATTTGAAGATCAATGGGAAGTTATTGTGACAGAAGAGTGAAGATTTGAGTCAAGCCCACCTTGAACAGTATTATGACGTCACGTTTTTTTGTTTGTTTTTAAGTAGTGATCACACATTCAATGGAATCCTAACTAGAAATTTATATGTCGGACACGAGGTTGACATATTTTTGACGTTTTCTCCTTTAACACATTTGAACTACAGCATTTTGTGAAAATGAATATAAAGAAGACGTACCTATAAGCGTTTCCACCGTGATGAGAATGATCTAAATACAAAATTAAAAGTTCACCATATTTTTTTAAGAATTTTCTCTATTCCTTTTGTTTTGGTTTAGTCTCTATTTATGAATGTCTTTGAATATTTTATTGATAACGTAGCTGCTAGAGTAGCTGTTTACCTTTTCTCCCTCAGTCACGTGATACTTATTCATAGTGCACTCTTTTTGGACAGTACTAAACGACGTAATAAATTAAAACATATCTACCTATTCGAGCACCTTCCACCAACAAGTAAAACCCATTTGGATTTTTCTGTAAAATTTCAATGGCTTTCCTTGTCATTTCAGCAAGACTTGGTTGCATGGTGGGATCTCGATCGGCCTCATAATCCATGCTGCCAGGAGCAAACATTCCTAAAAAAATGTTAACAAAATTACTATTGTAAGAATAAATTTTTTTATAATCAATAAATAAATGGATATCGAAAATGAGAATTTAATAAGGAAGAAAATGATAAGTTTGGTGATATAAATCAATGTAAGTGCATGTGAAATGTGTCGACTTACCCCACAAATGGTCAATATAATCAGGAACTTTATCGAACTGCTGTTTGTTGTGTACATACATAGCATTCTCTTGTGATGCTTCTACATTCATTTGCCATTGTTTAATAAAATCTTGTCCATCGGCTCTTTCATAATGATTCCCAGGATAATCTTCATCTTCTACTGTGTTTGGTCTGAAGTATCTCCGTCCTCCGCCTAATACGACCTATATACAATCTGCTTTCAGTGGTTGGGGAAATAAAACATGAATTCCCATGCGGAATAAATAGAAGCACGCGGTATGAAAAGCATTAGAACGATGTGCATGGGGCTATTGCTATTTTCATATAAACTGGTTACACACCTGCTACAATATATTTCGACCCTCTTGTACACCAATAATTTTGACTCGAAAAACATCACTTACATTGGTTATGCAACTTACATCGATATATGGAAGATTGTCGTACAGTTGATGAGCGATATCCTTGCAATCATTAGTTTTGGCTTCCTCTGGAAGATCCGAATCGGAATACCATGTTCTACTGGCTGAACTTGCAAATGCGGCAGCAGGTGTAGCGTGGACAACGTATGTGGTCGTAACTATTCCAGTCGATTTTCCTGAAGAGGACATACAAGTTGTCATTGCCGTATTTTGAAACAACAACGAGCAGATTTATGTCGAATAGTTTTGTCGGGTATACTGACTGTCTGTTTGGGTCAATTATGCCGTTTGGAGGTCTAGGACTCTAAAGTGAGGTATTTTAGGTAAGTGATGAATATAAAATAACATTAATATCAATGCCGGCACATAGACACATTAGGTTAAAAAAAATTATTTCAATTTTAAGTTCAGATGTACTTTGTGGCAGAGTGGGTAAGCTGACAGACATTGGTTTGAATTCAGAAGATTCGAGCACGGTTATTAAGACAAAAACATTCCGGTTTCCAATTCTTATTTAACTAACTTGGTGTCTGCTGGACGAACCGCCCTTAAGTAACATTTTCTTCAAACCACTCTAAATCAAGATTTAGATATATATACGAGAGAATAGAAAATAAACTGAAAATTTTTTTACACTGTACAATATTTTGACCGCAAGTGACGAGGACCGCGATAGACTGTCAAGTCATCGTGACAGCGAGAACATACGGTAATTGAAAAGTTCAGCAACTGATAACGCCAAACAATGGTCACCATGATAAATATCACAAAAGGGGCAAAAGAGGACTTGAAAACAAAAATTATATGACTGAGATTCACAACCTGTTATTTGCAATGTGCCTTCTGAGTTAGTTCTGCCACTAATGGTATAACATTAACGGTTAAGTTAACCAAGAATAAAGCCAAGAATAAAAGGAATTTTCAAATTATTTGAGTGTTTGAATACGACGATATATTCTAGATTTAGTGTCAGTAACATAATTATCCACAGTTATTACTAACATAATTGCGCTGGGGTAGGTTCACAGCTTTCAGGCAGTAAATGTTACAACTTTATCAAGTTACAACCTTATTAAGCCGTGAATAATAAGCTATTTCTTTTCAAATTTACTGAAGTACTGTAAATAATCGTTAAAATTTTTTGCTCAGTGTATGATGACAGAAAAAGAAGATCTTTCCAGTACTGCATATAATTCATACCTGCTTTCTTGGCCTCTTTAAGAACAGATTCCAATTCGTTTCCTTTTGAAGATGCACAATCACCATATCTTGTTGCAGCATTGACACCAACTGTGTAATATCTCGTTTTTACTCCACATAAAAATGCTGTTGCAGTTGCAGCGGAATCAGGAACTTGGTAATCTACGTTGTAAGTCTGATGCAGACAAAATCATTCATTTGCATCAAATCAGTATATATATATGTGATTTTTCATTTTATTTATGTACTCTTGATGAGGGAGAAATTTAAATCTTATTCGAGTCTGGACAAACGACAAATGCAAATTGCGGAATACTCAGAAATGAACCAATATTACTAATACATATTTGCTGTGATGCCAAGGCAAATCCTAGAATAATGGTGCAAAAAACTATATCCGACCAAAGTATACATGACATGCAGTGCCAGATATAGCATTTATTTCATTTTTAAGTGATTCAAAGTTTTAGCCTGCTTTAAATAGAGGTGGTTCGAAAATGGCTAATACGCATACCTTTGACAGTGCAAAGTGAGGGAGTGATTCCATAGCTAGTTTGCTCTCCTCGCCTGATTGTCCTTTCAGTTGTCCTTTCATGATTCTACCTGCAGTAACGCTCTGAAGGCCCATTCCATCGCCAAGATATATAATTGTGTTTTTGGCAACATTAGTATTCAAGTTTTCCTTATTCAAAGCATCTTTTAAAGTATTCTGTGCTTGTTCATTCCAATATTCCGCAGTCTCCTCGACAGCTAAATAAAACATATGGTATATCGCTGTTGTGTGTTTATATATCGCTTTTCAAGTCAAAAATATAGGTTTATGCGTTCAAGATACGGTCTTCAATTGTATATTGAGTTCTGTATTTAATATTATAAATACTTTATATCCTGTTACGGCACGAGTTTGAAATGTATTCGTTAAGACTCAATAAACACTAAACTTTACGATACATCAGGTTGAGTTGGCTATATCAGAAATTGTATTTATCTCAACCTTGAAAATATTTTATTCACCTGATATTCGACTCAATCTCTCCGAAAGTATTCTAGTGTCATGATATTTTTCATCGTCGTCTTGCGGTGGCGATTGTGGAGTTTTTGATGTTTCTCTACGTAGTTGGTAATCATAAGACTGTCTTTTGGGTTTGTTTGCGCAATTAGGGTCCAACGGTTTCACATGATAAGGATCATTTTTACCTTGCTCAGATGTTTCAACACATACTTCACTATTCTCACATTCTAGTAACTGTGCGAGAATAATTACTACACAATATACCAAACGCAACTTTTCTGAATTCATATTCTATATCGCAAATTGCATTATTAGAGATACCAAAACAGAAAAGAGTGTTTTTAATGATTGGTTGAACGTCGACTCAGTATACGCAAACAAATTCGACAAATATTTACTGTGAATAATGCAGTGAGCAAATCAACATGTCGCAACTGACGACCGCGGGGACATCGTGCTTGATTATCACATGCTATAGAATTATTATTGGGCCGTGAAAGTACCAACCAAATCATTACATCAAGAAAGAAATGTAGTATTTTTAAATTTGGCAAATACTGGAGCCTTTTATACTGTATTTTATTTCCCTCAATTACTTATCACTCCTAAGCAATATACTCATATATTGAATGTAACACAAATGCGACGCTTGTTGACATTAAATTATATATTATGTGAATGTATGTGTTGAGTATACATTGTATTAGCTTCGCAAATAATTAAACGTCCGACAACTACTGATAAAACATTCTCTACCTATTTGCAGTACGTTTATGAAATTCTGTCAGAAGAAATTTCGTCCTGTGTACGGGAGGGCAAAGCCATACTTATGATCGCAATGGTAGCCGGTACAAAATAGGACATTGCGCAACGCGGGTCCTTGCCCTAAATGCGCTGGTGCTTGTGGTATACATAATTACAACTTTGGTGTAATAGTATCAAAATTTACTTACTAGTCAAATCAAATAAATCGTTTTTTATTAGCCGTCCAGGCAAACGGGCACAAAAAATTGAAGCAAAATTGAAAAATTATACATGCCTTTGCCCAGAACGGGCAGGATGGCCGCGAAATGACCATTCGGTTTACTTGTCAGCGGCTATCTTGAAATAGCTGTATTAAATAAAATTTAGGAAACGAACATAGGTAATCGCTTCTATACTTATTAGTCAAATGAATTATAACGACTACACGTCCGGTTAACAGTCATTGAGTTTTTTTTAATAAATTTGACGAAAATTGCAAAAAAATCAAACAATGCTTGCGAACTTTTGTCTTGCGTTTAAAAAACTCTAACATTACAATATCGCGGTAGGCTTTTTAAATTGACTGAATATCACTATCAAGATTTATATTCATAAATAACGAGTTGCATGTTACACCTTATCATAGTCCGTCGACTGCGGAACCGATAAGAAACCTGGCAGGTTATCGAGCATCGACTGCTGGACCGAGCACACAGGCGCACCCACACTTATGCACGTTCGGTGGTTTCTGTTGTGATTTCTCATCAATTTTTTTACCGTCTTCAATGGTGCTCGAATCCTTTGTCTTCACACTTGATCATAATCAATCCTACGCATTTCGTCGCGCCATAGGCCAGTTTTGACCCGATATTTGCGATTTTTTTCTGAGAATTCTGAAATTAGTATCTCTCTACTCATCAAATGTATAGCCTACCGCCTGACTCAGCGTTACATCTCTATAATGAGCAACATTATACGAAAAATAACCATTGTATACGCCTTGCGGTCACGCAGCACGGTGTGATTGGGAGGAAGGAATAAGTCACATTCTCTGGTTCGCTTTCTAAAGATATAGAAGTACCAAAGCTCTACAGAAAAGTGTATCAGAGATCATAGTGCAACGCCAATGCAAATCCGCAAGATAGAGAATAATGATCCAGTCAGGGATCATAAGAAATTGTATATTTGAATCGATTGGAAATTTGTTCTATATTAGATATAGTATTTTCTTGATTTCACGAATCAATTAGAATATTGTAAACTTCGTGCAATTCCTGACAATGTAATGAATATCAATGAATAGGTTTTTCATATATATCCGTAAATATTATTCCTGAGGCTTTCGGATCAATATTTAATTCGATTTTGGCTCGATTGTCACTTTATCCAATTATCATATAGTGTACCAGCGTAGCTATCAGTACAAAAAAATTGAATAAATCATATATATATGATTATTTTTTTCGAAATATCGTGAAACCAACATGAATTTCAAAAAGTTAATAATTAATAATAATTTATTGTAGTTGTAAATCATCTATAAAATACCCGCTCATTTTTGATGAAATAGAACTATGGATTGTTTCATCTACTTGGTACAGAAGGGTTTTCAGCCGGTCAAAGTGTTTGTGTTTGCAAAATTTGTTCGATGTATACAGTGCTGTAATCAGGCGACGATATATAAAAGTTTGATAACCACAGGTCATTTCAAATCTAGCTATTGTTCGACTGAGCGATTTGCCATTCATTCTCAACTCTACAATAATCAGTTTGGCGATGTATGTTTACGTATTTTGCTTTTCATGTGTTGAGCTTTTGGTTAACCTATCTACATTTCGTATCCAGTGAGTCACCTTATGACGTTTAGGCCATATTCAATGATATATTGCTATTCGATATATATAACTTTTTATACTATTTGGGCGTTTGGGTGTGCGTTCGAAAAAAATGGATATGTTTTATATATATTTCTTTTTCATTTATGGGTGAGCAAACCCCTGTCCCTTATACCTCACAATTGTCCTCACAAATTTTAATTGCCCTTTGAACTTCATTATATAGGTTTAATTTGTTTACCTGACATTCATATTTATGCATTTATTTATGTGTTTATTATTGGACACGTAAGGGACATAACGATCGTTTCAAAATGTTGTTGTTATTGTTATTATTTGTCTCCGTCAACACGTTTTGAAGAAATCGCTTTTCTCTTCAAATACTGGACCAATTGCTTTGAAATTATCAGTGGTTAAAGATGAAAATTTTCCCCAGAAGGCTATTACTTTTTTTTCGCCATGACGTCATCAAAATTATGTGACTCTACGTGTTCATATATTTGAGCATAGCTCTCTTGTTCATAAGTCGCTTATATGCTGATTATGTAGTTGAAATACATTTACTTGCTAGTCGAGTAGCTCTGTACCGTGTTACCCCGAAAAATAAGACTGGACTAAAGACTGGATGTCTCATATCATATTTTCATTTATCCAAAACAAGGTTATAAAGTAGAGAATTATGAGATTTCCAAATATACAACATATGAAACCCGATATCCATTTACCTCTAAATAACACGTTTTTATTTAAAATAACTGCAAAACATAGATTGTCTATCATTTGAAACGTGTAGGAAAGATTTCTTGCTATCGACTAGGTCAAAACAAATTTCACTTTTTTGACTAGTTTTTTATTTTTATTTTATTTTTTTTGGGCTTATATTAAAATCATTTCATGCTAGGTCTTATTTTCAGGGTAGGTCTTATTTTCGGGGAAACACGGTACTGACAACCAATGTGAATATATATATATACTGATTATTCCAGGTTTTCAGTTATCTAATTACTGCACCCGAAAACCACTCAGTTGTTTCATTCACATCCAAATGTCAAAAACTAACCCCTAATATACGAATGGCCAAAACCTATAACAGTGGTGAAAGACATGAGTGGATGACAACTCCTTCAATTATTATTCCACCTTCAACTGATTGCTCTCGTCGCATAAAAAAAATTGTTAGTCTATAATTGGTAAACGTTCATTGAAACATTCACTATCATTATGGTATAGACCTTTCCCCGAGCATCGACTTCCTTGTTTACTTCGTGACATTGGCCAATCAGCAAGATGCAAAAAGTGACGTAACAATGCCCCTTTTTCCCATCAGGCCAGACACTTTTCTCACTCAGACCAATGACATTAAACAACATGATGCGCAACTCCGGCATTTTTGTCCGAAGATCGTATTCGATAGCACGCTCCAATGCACATACTTGACGAGACGAAAACGAGCGGATGTGTGCTGCTTTCAAGGCGTAGCACGAATGGTGTTCGTGCCTGCTTTGACAGTTGTTGTCGATTTTAATGATATTTTTGAAAGTTGGGGTAAAAAGAAATCGGTAAAAGGTAAGGTGAATACTATTGTTGTATATCACACCCGGGCATCGCACTGTTAAGTACATGTGGGAAAGCCAGCCTTTGTCAAATACTACGAAGTTATTAATTCAGTACGGTACGTAGTTGCCCATTTGCCGAAATTACATATTTACTTACCCCTTATGGTTTCAAATAGTTCATGCACCTCCAGTTAGATTTTTTTAATCAGTGAGGATATATACTCATTGTTGATTGCTGCTCATTGTAACATACTATTACGCATTCACTTTTATTTGCGTATTGAATCAAAGTGTTAACAAGTTCACCTAACATTTCACTCATACCGGTCTATATTGTATAGTCTGATTTCTCAAGTATTTGGAGCCACGAATGCTTGTAATTTTCTGACTAAACCCTTTTATTAGTTGGTTTGCGAACGAATCAGATGTGCGTGGAGTCGTAATTTTTGAAAACCAAATTTTGGTTAAAGACCTTGCGTGCATCATGTCAGGGGATACTGAAAGATTCAGTCTAAAGGGAATTATAGTTAATCGTTATATTTTTTTTTTACTCCACATCGATATATAACATATTTTATGTCTTTTCGTGCAACCGTTTAATTCTACGGTGCATTTCATCTTTTATGAATTTGGTCACTGATTTAAATAATAAAAAAACATGCTCGTAACCAGGATGTTATGTTTTATTTTTATTTTAAATACTTATGATGGATATTTGGTATTTTTTGTTTTTTGAAAATGTTCTTTTTTTCTTCAAAATATTTATTTTGAAATGTTTTGGTGTTTCATTAACTTTTTAAGCTATTAACCTGAATCAACAAGCGTTTTAGGTGTCGCTGCCTGAAGACCTCTTGAGGTCCCTCGCGACTCCTGTCACACAATTTAAGTTAGTTTCCACTTATATTTGTAATTATTTTTTTTATATATCATACCATGTTTAAATTGTGTTGACGAATAAATGATGATTGATTGATTGATTATATACCAAATTCAGTAAAATATTTTTTAAATAAAACATGAGATATTGGATTTATTAGCTTTTCCATTCTGAATCATATAGACTGCTTTATTTATTCTTAACGAAAATTAATAAATCTCCTCTCTTTCTTCAGATGTGAAAGTTGTGGACAAACCTGTCTAAGCATTGCGAGACTCTTGCAGCACAAGAGGCAATAGCAGAAATAGCAAGTATATCAATCAAGAAATTAAGCCGACATAAAGCAAAACTTTCA